GTTTTTCCGCTGAGATGAAGCTCAATGATGGCTGCACGTTGTGCATTCATTTTGGCACAAAAAATGATAGGAACTGATGAACCCATTGCTTCATCTGCAACTTTAAGCTACATGTCCATACAAGTCACATGCCCATAGGCTTGTAAAAGATTCTACCCGGGAGACATTCTATGTGAGTCCAAAGTTTGTAACAGAACTTCTTACGCACCCTGTATATTTTTTAATTCTACGGACATTTTTGATACAAAATGTTTTCATTATATTAAATTTCAGTCTTTATTTGAATTTTTTTCTCTGGAGCTATGCCGCCTAAAGAGAATGGAAGCGCTAATCAAAGTGTACAGAAACTATTGCACGACCCTGTATTCATGTCCTTCATTTTCTTTAGGTATTTCTTCAGCGACTCAAGTTTGTTTTGAATTTCGGTAGGGGTCTTTTAAATCCCACTTTTCTCAAGAACTTTGGCAAGGAGAACGTACACTTTCCTATTCCGTTGCGTGCCATCAAGCATGCTTTGAATATTAAGATCGTGAAATAGAAGCAGTCGAGTTTGCACATCTTCCTCACTCTAACCAATACAAACACTCACGGTGAAAAGGAAAAAAAGAGGACGCGAGTAGAAGGAAGAGTTTAGCACGCCTGTCAAATGATGCTTATCCCACGAATGCGTTTCGACTAAGATCTGAACCTGGGACAGTCCCAGAACGATCCTGGGATTGACCAGTTTGCCCAGCGACGTTTCTCACAGTGGGAGGGGGGTGAATGTCAGCGTTTCGACTAATCCCAGAGGCTGACTATCCCAGGGCGATCCCAGGATAACATCTCAGTCGAAATAAGGCTATTGATAGTCAGAAGCATCGAAGGTTATATCAATCTTTGCAATAATCACCACCTTCCCTTGAATGCAGGGATGACAGAAGACAGGAGGCTCCCACACTGATAGAACAATATTGAGGGAAGGTAAACTATATTGTCTGACTGCAACATGAGATGATGGAAAAGACTGCCACCCTTCTTATATAGTGATGAAAGGGAATGGAATCCATCTACAACACTCCTGGATGTAATACATTAATCCACTGTTAATAATTCTGGTCAATGCATTGAAACTTTCAAAATAGCCTCATGACAATCCTAAGTGAAACCATCACTTATGAAATGACCATTCAATGACCAATGAAATTTCCTGACCATTCAGGAGTAATATGGCAGGGTACCCTGTCACCTGTGAGCCACAAGGGCCATGACTGTGTGAAGCAGACTTGAGTATGAAAACACTGTTGATGAAAAAATGGGAAAGAAATTTGAAAAACTATCAGGAGGGCAATAACTTGTACCTTTTCTGGACAGCAAATATTGATCTTACTCAACAGAAAAGACGAGACTCACCTCCTTGTCCTGGGCCTGTTTCCATGCCTTGACAGGATCTGGATCATATCCCTTCCTCTTCATTTCAGCTATCATGTCCACTTTCTTCTTGTTCTCAACAGTGATTCTACCATCACATTTCTCCAGGATGAATCTAAATAAGGCAAAAAAGACAAAAGGTTTCAAGTCAATGGAATTCTCCACTAAAGCCATGGAAACTTGGAAAGACTGACTATCTCCCCAGGAATGGATTCTCACCTGGCTTGATTGGAGAGTTTTAGTGCTTGAGCCTGAAGCATGCCCTCCAGGTAAGCCTTCCTTTTCTCATAGAACCTAAGTCGGACGTGGTAAAAGTCCACTAAGATTTCTTCAGCTGTGTCATACCTCCTCAAACACCCATTTTCATCAAACAACACCTGCATGCCACCAATAACAACCAGGTCAGAACTCAGTCTCTTAAAACTTAGGGTTATGAATTTAATTTTTGTCCTTTCATGCAATGAAAGGGAAAAAATTATGTTTTCTTTCTGGAAAGGTCATTCTACAAAGTTGTGGCACTCCTTTTTGAGGATATGAACTTGCAATTAATTCTGCAATTTCCTTTACTAAATTCCTAACTAGAAACTACAGGGAAAGTCAAAAACAGAATTTGCAAGCAGGGAAAACAAGTTCAGAGTTTTGTGTGGCAATTCAGATCCTTGGCTTCTTAGTGCAAGAACAAGCCATGATTTGGATGTATAAAAAAGAGAAAAAGAAGCTTTATCAGACCAAAAAATTAATCTCAGGTCAGAGGAACTGATTAGAACAAATTTCTTGGTAAACCAAATCAATTAAAATTTAAAAAGAGGAATTTGATGGGATGGAAAAGGCCTTGCCATGGTGGAGGTGGAAAGGAGAGTCTGAAGCTTGAAGAACTTGTGGAGGCCACTCTCCTCAGCTTGTCGCAGCTTCTCCTCCGACATGGACACCACAAAACGGACAGTTGTGTCAGTGTGATACTCCTTGTAGTCCCTGTTGATAAATATATTACAATTTTCTAAACAACAGTCCAGGTGCTTGCTTTTGCTGTCACAGGACCTGAATATGTTTTATATTGAACCATGAATGTTGCCAAATAGGAATAATGTAAGGAGAAAATTTAACAGATATTTCCATGATTCACATTCTTGAAAATGAAATTTTCAAATACTATTAAATCTGCTTGATTTTCACTGCTGCTAAATAACTGATTCACTTCCAACTTTTTATCAGTTGGATATCAGATATCTGTTGTATATCCTGAGCATCTATATCCACAACCTCATGTACCAGGTTGCACTGGAATATGCTTTTCATTGCTTTTTTATTATTGGCGTGGCCTAAGAAGATATATAGTATATTATAGACACTCTAGGAACATTTTAATCCCCATCATATTATAGCTGCTTTGGCCCTGACATACCTCTAAAGTTTTTCAGATGGTATGACTCACACAATAGAGGAGTCAACCCATTTTTTACCTATAGAAATCTGGACTTTGCATATAGCATGGAGAAAACCTAAATTAGCATATACCTTGTGTGGCACATGCACAGCACTCAAAGGTGGGCAAGTACAGGGTAATAACGTTCAGGCAGTGTTAAATTGTTCAGCAAGACAGATATAATGCCATCTACTCCTACTATGCAGGTGAGCCCTAAATTAATCATTTCTTTTGGATGTTAGTATAGTTCTATATAATGGTGTCTGCACCAGGTGTCCCAGTAGGACATGACAATATTCATTCAAAGGAAATTAGATTAGATTATTTGTCTAGCAGGAGGGTTGAGACAGTGCTTACGTGATCAGAGAAGGCTGCTTCTCACTGCCATGGAGCATGGGTTCCATGACAGATTCTTTGTACTGTTGAGTCCAGGTGCGAATGGGCAGCTCAGTGATCTCAACTCGATTATCATCAAGGATGGCCACCTCACCATTGACTACATACCGCTGTCCATCTATGTGCTCAATCACACCTCGGTAGTTCTTGAACCAAGGGATCTGGGACACCAAAAGGAAATGGAGGGGGGTTCCATGCATCTCACAGTTGCATTTTTCATATTTCATTGAACAAGAAATGGGAAAGCACATTGAGGAGTGTTTACATACCCACTTTTTCAACAGAAGCCTACCTAGAAATGAGACATGTAAAGAGGCTCTGCAAGGAAATGTTTACATTACATTCTCCAGTGACACTATTAGTCCACACATGCCTCATTATACTCCTGCTGGAGTCACCATATTGAGGCCCTTATTATAACCTCCTTCCTATCTGGAATTTCTATAAACAATTTCTACATTTCTAACAATTGGCTTGCTACCAGGTCACCAGTGATCCTAAGCTAATTTAGAATTGCATACATTGCTAGTTTTATGTTTTATAAGCATCTCAGTCATCATTAGACAGTTGGTCCACTGTCCATGTTCAGCCATTCTATTCATGCTTGGCCATATGTAATATAACGAAGTTAAAATTACATAATGCAAAGAAAAGAGAAAACTGCAAAAGCCCTCCTTGAAAGCCAACATTTGAAAGATATAATGCCCAAAATTAATATCAAATGTGAATGCCACATAAAGATTGCAATTACTACCTAAGGACATTCTGTTAAAAACTTCTCGATAAACTTTTCCTCTCTGGATGTCATCCTCTTTATCCCCTACATACCATTATTGGAGAAAAGTGGCTCACAAACCATGAGTTTAGGTTCCTCTCCATCAAGCAGTCGTTGGAGATTTCTCACAATGTCCCTGGGGTTGTAGTTGGGGATCTTGGTGGACCATCCTGTGCCAATCCCCTCAGCTCCATTCACAAGGACCATTGGGATGATAGGGACATACCATTCAGGTTCAATCTTCTGGTTGTCATCCAGCAGATTGTTCAGCAGGGGGTCATCATCAGTGTGGAAGATGAGGCGAGCTAGTGGACTGTCATCATGATCAGAAAAAAGCTTTGATTTATGGATTGTCAAGGAGATTCCAGTAAAACAAGGCTCCCAGAATCATAATGAACTCTTCAGAATACTAATATGCAAAGCTTGGACTAATGGGAAAACATACCCACTGTAATTACAAATTTATCAAACATCAAATGACAAAAAAAGCAAATCCAAATATATATGAGCAAGATCCTACTGTACCATTAGATAGGAAAATCAAACAAATGAGTGGAAAGAGACAGCTGTAATCAATCTTGGCACAAAAAAAGTTATCCCTCCAATGTTCACAAAATTTTAAAATTAAATGTATCCCATGCATTGCTAGACCGATGGAAATTGAAAATAACAAAACTAAGCATCATAGCAGCATGAAGACTATAAAGACAATGATGCAAACCTGAGCATGGTGAAGATGTATCTGGGACTGGCAGCATCCTTCCCACCTTGGAGCCGGGTGCCAAACTGACCAATGGGCTGGAGCAGATTGATGTTATTAGAGCCAACAAAGTTCTGAGCTAAGTTGATAATAGTTCCCATGAGAGACTGCTCTCCATGGTGGTAGGCAGAGTGTTCTGCCACTGAACCTGCCAGCTGAGCCACTTTGATTTCACGCTTGTCATTGCGCTTCAAGCATGTGAACATCACCTGCAAAATTCAGGGGTAGAACTTTTTCATTCAAAAGCAATTCTTGAAAGCCAGCCAAAGAAACATGAACACTTTTGCAAGATTTGACAAAATGATAAGTTGGTATAACTTCTGCCATGTTTAGCCAAGAAAAAGGGTCTTGATGAATATGATTATTACCTATTTATAATTGTGAGTAGTCAGTGTGAAAAACTGTGCCAGTTTTGACAAGTAATGAAGACTGTAGGAGAAAAATACTACATGGACATGAACACTTACTCTACATATGTGAGACTTATCTGAATCAGAAAAAAATCCCTTCAGTAACTAATTTTGAATTGAAAGTCAATGAAAACTTTTCTCAAATTTGAGTATTATCTGTAAAAATTATATCTATTCAAATCTATTGGAAAGTATTATGAAAATCAAATTACTTAGAATAATGCCAGTGCATGAATACAAAGCAATACAGACTAATAAAATATCCAAAGAAACTGCATTCAATCAATAGTGCAATGTCTCATGTAATTTGTAAGCAACAAGTTACCAATGTAAAAGCAAAGTATGAAATCTAGTGATGAAATAATTTAGCCACAACTGTAGGTCTAAACAAGACTTCCACCAAACAAGTCCTCAATATTCTGGTTCATTATCTAGAGTCTAAAAGAATCCAAAGTCTCTTTTGCAATGTAAACCTATAGATCAGCAAAAGGAGAAAATCAGACTATGATAAGACACCCAGGATTCTAATTGGGAAAATACTTAGAGCCAAAGGCAATGTAACTCAGCTTCCCACCAAAGGGCTACCCATATCAACCACATCATTTGCAGACAAAATAGCACAGAAGGCTCACCTTCCGCTGCCCTGGCTTGAACCCATCAACAAGGGCTGGGATGGATCGCTCATTGTCTAGATTGCTAAAAAGGATGAGTTCCTTGTTTACAAAATCTGTGTATGTCACAGCCTTTGTCTCCTTGGTGTACAGGTAGATCTCAGGGAGGCCTAACTCCCGGCGTCGCTTCCTCTCCTCCATGCCCTGTGTTAGCCATTCCTTTCGTTGCTCCACTGCCTTCTTGCTGAAAGCCTGCCAAAAAAAAAAAAACCCACTCATCTAGAAGATGTAGAAGTTTCCAGTTTCAAGTATACAAAACTTTTGTGGCTGAGCTTCATGGTCACATGTCTAAATTATTCCACAGTTTCATTCAAATATCACATTTCAGAATGATTTTGCTTTTGCAAGCACCATTACTTCATCTTCCACATTTTATTTTAGTTATTTAGCAGGCTCAGGTGTAAAAAAAAGAGTTGAATTTCCAACTCTCAGTGGACAATCTGCACATAACACCAAAGCCAGACTCTGTGACATTTTTCAGCTGCAAAAGTTTGCCCTTGTAAGCAAGGTTGGACAAAAATAGGTGGAAATGACATTTTCTTGCCCAATGACTGAGTACCATGAGCAAGCATGGCTCCAGCTAAATCCCCATTCAAGTTCTTATCCATCATAGAAAAGAAACTGCTCCAACACCAAATTCCCCCAAAAATGAGGAAAAGAGAATCCCATCCAAGTGTAACCCTATCTGACAGCTCACCATGATGATGCTCTGATCGTCTGCCTGATTCTCATACTTGAACTTGATGCGGTGCCTTCCCATGTCAGAGAAGTACTCCTTTGCCTCTTTTGATGTGGAGGTCCCGAGACCTAAGAAGTCCACAAACATAAACCAATGTACATTGAGTATTCCCAAGGTAAAAAAAGTGGAAATCAATCATCTAATTCATGCCATTATGGAATTCAACAACTAAGTGCAAATATTCATACTTCCCATCTTATATTAAGAGTTGAATACCAGGATTATTGTGGTGGCACTTTTATCATAACTTCCTTCATGACAGATGTAAGTTACACTGGGAAATTCTAAATAAACTCTATTACTTCAAATTTTTTACTCTAAATACAAAATTGTAAAAGCCTGACAGCAGTCTGCATATGAAACCTGCAATGAAGCCTGAATTGAATCTATAAAGAACTTCGGCAGAGCTATCCAGAACACAAAGAAGATGCAATACAGAACAAGAACCTACCACTAGCTGTCGTTTATTTATCAATGAGGATATCGCACCTTTGTAGTACTTGATCTTGTAACTATTCCAATTGTCCTTATGCTTCTTCCATTCCTCAAATTCTGGAATGGAGAAGAAAGATAGCTCCTCCTTCCCCTTGGTTGCCTTCACAATTGGTGTGATGAACTCCTCAATGAATGGGAGGCGCAGCAGGCCTGGCCAGTTGTGATGAAGGAAGTTGATGAGCAGGCCTTTGATATGTGACCCATCCTGTACAAGGAATCAAACCCATCTGATCCAAAAATTGATTTCACAAATTTCAATCTACTGCAGGCAAAATATTGATTTTCTGACTTGATCCTGATCCGTCATGATCATGAGTTTCCCGTAACGGAGAGACTTCAGGTCTTCTACAGTCTCATACTTCTTTTTGTACTGCAAGCCCAAGATTTTGATGATGTGGTTGATTTCCTGATTCTCCAGGATCTAAGAGGAAGAATGAAATGTAGAATCAAAATTGGGCAGCCTCAAGGAATTACATTGTAACAGAGAAAAATGTCCAGACTCTGCTAGTCACAATAAAACTTTGGGTTATTGGTGATCTGATGACCAAACCAGTAAAGAATATCATGTCAGTTTGATCATCATACAAATCTCACAATCGAAAAACTGATGAAACAAAAAAAAAGAAAAATAACAAAATTGATTACTGGTTGTCCCTTCCTGGGGTTAGGCACCATCACCACTTCAAAGGACACCTTGTAATTCCATCCAACAGTACTCACAAAAAGGTACACTTACAGGTACAATTATGTTTCCCATAATATAATCATTCATTTATTTGAGATTCAGGTCTCAATAACCCTTGCTTTATAAAATTGCTAAACTGACATGGCAAAATTCACACATCTTCATTTTGTGTGTTACATTTCTATAAGATCTAAGTAAGTAGCAAAAAAGCATGCAAATTTCAAACAATAATTGTGACTTATTTTTTATTTATATTCCGTAGTATACAAAGTATCAGTTTGTATATAGAACAGTACAGTTAGTATCAATTTTTTGACAATTGAGGGTTAATTGGAGGTCATAAGTCTATCTGATTAACAACCAGGTCATTTTACAATTCAACAAGAGTTCCATGATGTCCAGCCAGACCTGCTTGTGAGAAGCCTCCCGGACATTGAGAAGCTTGCCACGTAGTGGGAAGACGCCATAGTGATCACGCCCAACAACACCGAGGCCAGAGACAGCCAGAGTCTTGGCTGAATCCCCCTCAGTTAAGATCAGGGTGCACATTGCAGAGTTCTTAGTGCCTGCATCATTTGCATCCTCCAGCTTTGGGATCCCCTTCAACTTGTTAGCCTTCTTGGCTGTCAGCTTTGAGGAAAGCTGATTCTGGGCCTTGAATCGTGCCCATGCCATCACTGACTCCACAACCCCACATTTCAAGACCTAACAAGTAAAAAAATCACATGGGAATGCATAAAATCATCAGTCATCAGGGGAAATGATCCCAACAAAGAAACAAACCCCATTGATGAACTTTTCAGAGGGCTGGCACTTGGAACCAAAGCTCTTTGCCTGCAATGTCATGTTCTCTTTGGTCTGGGAATCAAAGGTGGGATTCACAATGAGGCAGTTGATGAAGACCCAGAGGTGATTCTTGACTTGGAAGGGTCGGATTTGGATCCCACCCTTGTTCTTCTTCTTCACTGTCTCCACCAGCTTCCCCACAATCTGGTCTGCAATGTAGTCCACATGACGCCCACCCTAGAGATGCAAGGATAAGAGAAGATTCAAATCAGCATCCAAAAATGAAACGAACTTTATAAGGAATTATCCCAAATGGCTACCACAGGTATTCAAAATTAGTGAATTTTTTATTGAATCAATTCTGGAATTAGTCATGTAACATAATATATATAATAAATGTAACATAGCCCTTTTCATGAGTCAAGAAGTCAGACAGGAGTTTCCTCTTGAACAAAGAAATAAACAGAAAAATGCAGGTTTGCAAATAAAATTTCTAAAATGAAAGGGAAAGACTAGCCATCAAATCAAGCTCTAGTCTAAATACTTGAAAAGGTCAGTAATGTTCCTCTCACTGAACTTTATGCATCCTTGGAATATTTCACAATAATTTATTTTTAACATATTAGAATTTGCAATGAGATGAAAAACAGACACCAGTAGATCTGCACTCATGAATGAACGACTGATTCAATTTCTTCAGTGCACAAGAATGTTCAGCAAATGAGGCTGTATGTAACAAATTCTGCTATTATTTCACTCTGGTATCATGTCAGCAACACAGAAGGGTTTGATGTAAAATGGTTAAAAGTAAGACTACTGAATTTACCACTTAGAAGAACCCCATGATTCATAGTAGATGAAGAGTTTGGAGAAAAATTGAAGACAAGAGTACTGTGCCATGTTCATGTTGCCACTCTGCCTAATAAGCTGATGCTATAAAAAGCTATTTTATTGAAAAAATTAACCAAATTTAGACTCGTTTATCAGTAATGAAGTGAGAACCTGCAATCATTAGGAGTCTCAGAACAAAAATGCTTCTTTTTTTTTTTAAATAGACTCAGGAGTTGCTATGGGGCTCATTCAGTTTCATACAAGCTTCAAAATTTTCCTAGACAAAGTTTCAACCAAAGTTTCAAAGAGTCACTCCAACAAGAGAACAGCATATCCAGCAGTTAGCATGTGAACAGCATATGATGTCATGCATGCTTGAGGGGTTAATGCAAAAAGCTACTAAGTAATAAAGCCTCTAAAACACAGTTCAGAAGTAGAGACCTTGGTGGTGGCAATAGAGTTGACAAAGGAGACTTGCTGAAAGCCCTGATCAGACATGGCAACTCCAATCTCCCACCGATCATTCACCTTCTCGAACACAACCTTCACTTGGTTTCCTGCTTCGTCCTCCTTCCCCTTCAGGTACTGATCTATGTAGTCTTTAAATCCCTTCACCTGAAAGAAGGGAGGAAAGGTGGGAACATCAATTAACAAGTTATAATCTATGTGCTTACCATATGCTATACACAGAGAATTAATAGCACCAACAAAGCAGTCAATATAAGAAAAATCTAAAAGTGATGCTATGCTAATAACATAGATTAATTGAAATGAATAGTTTAATTTAAAGTCATACCAGTAAAATCAACGACAATATAATCATTAAACATAATCATGACTTTCCATACAAGGATTTTTGCTCTTCTGTCCAATTGCTGACAACTGAACAGAAGAGCTAAAAATGCTCACTAAGAAAACACATTCCACTTGATGAGTTATTGGATTAGCTATGTTTTGGGGGTTTGAATGACTTGGGGCATGCAACAAACACAACTTCCACTATACTGGTGCACCCCAAGAAGGAAGCTTGAAAATGTACAGTCAGTCCAGGAATGACCAGCCATTAAAAAAAAAACTCATCAAAAGCCACAAAAAAGCATTCCTTAGAGCAAGCCTTAGTAAGCATGTCATGAAGTCTTAGCCTTGAGTCTTGCTCAGTGGCAAAGAAGGGAATACATGGATGAAATTTATCATATTTTTACTCACAGGAATTCTCTTGCCATTGAGGAAAACCTTGACACCCCAGGCAGCACCAGCAATATCATACGCTCGCCGAGAAAGAAGAGCCACTGTGTCCCGATCAAGGGATTCCATCTTGAATTTGGACAGATCTGGAGAAAATGTGACTTTGGTGAAGTCTTCACCAGAGAAGTCCTTCAACTTTGGCTCTGAGCTTTTAGTCATGTTGTTGGCCCACATCTGATGAAAATAAAGACACAAAAATAAATTAGTAAACTTAAATTGAACAATTCCTTGAATTACTCATAAACACACAGGTAAAAAAAAAAACATAATGAGCCTTTGCAAAGAATACTCCAGTTCATGATCAATGGTAGTACTTGGTACATTGTCAAGAGAGCAAAGGCAAACAAATGATGAATATGACTCACTGAATGCTGTTTTGCTATTCTATGCCATCATCATCAAAGGAAATATGAGATGAAAATCAAAGAGAAATAATCAATACTGATCACTCAATGTGAAACTGAACAGGGAATGATACTCATTAACTTTAGCTTATGAAATGCATATAATAGCATATGAAGAATACAAAAAATATACCATCAATAAAAGCCCATTCAGCAAAAGCCTACTGATTTCCTCAGTAGATTTAAATCTACTATGATCCAGGTAGAAAACCAAACAATTCAATTGCCTCATTTCTTACCCTCATAGAATCTCTTTATGAATTCCCTCACTGGATTAAAATGGACATCCTCAGAGTCAGTGTATGGGTAAATCCCAATCATGAAATTGCTAATGGCAGGTATAGACTTTTTTGTTACAGATCCAGAAGATTATTGTAAAAATCCCTTATGATGCCATGACACTCACCTTAGTATCAAATGGGAGCAGGGCTTTAACTTGGAGCTGCATGCATTCCAGTTTTATTTTTTTCAAGACCAATAAATAGACAAAGAGAATTCAGGAATTCACTTAGGAAGAGTAGCTCACCTGTTTAAAGCTGCGCTTGTACTCCTTGGAGGCAGTCTCAACTGTGAACTTAGAGCTGAAGATGTTGCACAGCTTGGCACCATAGCCATTACGACCTCCTGTGACCTTCTCCTCCTCATCATTGTAGTTGGATGATGTAAGGAGATGGCCAAATATCATAGTTGGAACAAACATCTTTTCACCCTTGTGTTCTGTGACAGGGATCCCTTTTCCATTATTCCAAATGCTTATCACATTGTTCTCCCTGTGAGATAAAAGAAAATGCAGCAATGAATAGGCATGTCTGTCAATTTCTTTCACCAAAGAGATAACTGGCACTGGAGAAAACTTAAAATGTTGCTAATCCCAAGTTTTTTTTAAATCTTCCTTCCTTAAAATTTTTTCCCCATATATCATAGGTCCTGTCAATTTCTTGATGTTTGAAATCAAAGAATCTTGTACCAATATAAGAAAAAGTAAAGTCTCTACATTTAATCCCTCTACAGTGACTTTCAAGGACTATTGATACTTAAGTGGAAATATTTTCCAATGCTGAACAAGTCAAATGGTATGATTTGACCTTCACAAAATGTATTGTACCTCCCACATAGCTCTATAATATCCTGTGACAAAAAAGAAAGGAGTATTTATTCCTGAATCAAGTGTATGAAGAACACAGGATTTTGATTGAGTCTACCATAAATTGAGTGACTTTCTTAAGTAAAAGCTTTACAAACAATATTTATTTTCTATACTCTTCTCAGAACTGTATTATCATTTCTAGGCAGAATTTAAATGATGCAGGAAACCATTTTACTAAGTTTCAGGTGCAAAGCTGATGAAAATATGATACCCACTCCTGGAAACACAAAGTAACTGCATATACAAACACAACCTACCAAAGTTCAATTAACAGTCTGGCAAAACAGGTTTATTTTACAACCACTTTCATAAGACATGCAGTACTTGCAAGGAGGTGAAATGTAATATGAAATTCATGTAAATCAAAACTTGACACACTCAACTGGAGACTCTATTAACAAGTAACATCACCAAAACTAGAATGCATAGCAGGGTCAACTCACGCATCAATGTCCACTTTGATGCAATCCATCTTGGCATCACGCTGCTTGTTGTCAGCAGCATTGACGAGGATTTCGTCAAAAATTTTGTACAGGCCAGGAACATAAGTGATCTCCCTCCGCACCATCCCTTCCTCTTCACCATCATAAACCCATTGTGACTCTGTCACTGGTTCCACAGAACCTGAATAGGAATTTTGATTCTCATTTCATTGCCTATTTCTAAAGTTGCAAACATTTAGTCATCTTCATTTCCTCCATGTATATTCAACTAACATGTTGATTTATATTCCATTTCCCATCAGATCAGGGCTGAATTGAGGAATGATCAAGGAAGGGCTAATGAAGTGAAGGCCCAAATATCCATGTCTACTTTTAATACAAAATAGGCCTAAACTATCTAGTACTCTATGCCTGTGTTGATCAAGTATGCCTGGAAGGTGTCATACAAAAAGAGAGCCTTGAAGGGCATCAAGAATAGAGTGGAAGACTGGGAACAGAGTCCTCACCAATATATGTATCAGGCCGAAGAAGAATGTGCTCGAGCTGGGTCTTCTTTTGATAGACACGCTCAATTGTCTGCCTCTTCTTTGCTGGACCTGCAGCTGCTCCTGATGCAGCAGGCTGAGATGTTCCAGGTGCATCCCCAGCTGCTTGAATGCCTGGATCAACTGCTACATCTCCATTCAACATCTTGCCAGTGGACCTCTTATTCTCACAGCCAGATCTTGGCAGGCTGCTTCCCTTAAAAAGGCTAAAGAGCAATACCTGACCCTGTTGAATAGGTTTTATAAACCTGAAAGGGGAATGCTTGAAGGAGAGCACCTTAAAAAAGAGAGAAAAAAAAAGGCCTCGCTCTACATAATGGGCATCTGGGTTCTATGTTAGGCCTAGGTTCAGACTATCCTCCATAGGCGAAAGGCCTATGCTAGGCCTTCACCTAACGGCAAGCCAACGTATAGAATAAACAGCGATAACTGAGAATCTTACATGCGCCTAGTCAAAATTAGAAAATAGCGGGCGGGCAGGTCTGGCCTAATTCTAATTCAGGCTCGATAGCCGCTAAGTCGAAGCCAACAATAGGCCAGAGGCTCCTTTTGATCCAACGTGACCCACACACAAAATTTAAAAAATTAACTGGAAAAATTGACAATGAACTAACCCACAACACCTAAAACACTTTCAAGTCGAAAGCGAAGCGGGAAGTGAAGAGGCGGCCAGAGCAAGCCGACATTTTAAACCGGGAACGTTAACCTCCTCGCGGGCTCAGGCAGAGACATCTTCTCCGTGCGATGCCCCCATGCAAGCCGACATGTAATACGAAATGTCGGTCGAAACACGGGCAATCCTATTAGTATAACCTTTTTTTTTACCGCTTTCAAGGACCGAAACGAACGGAGAACACTCCCATGGATGACTGCGGAGAGGCAGCGGACGCGAATGCCTACCGGCTCCAGGTCTCGACTATCGCTCTCACCCCGTCCGCTAGATGGCAGGAACGAGCCACGCCCATAATGCAGCATCAAGTTGAAAAGCGATTGCGAGTGAATGAGCTTGCCGAGTCAGACGTCGCCTCTCGCCTGCGTTACTCGTGCGACGCCGCATTGTAGGTGACAAAATTTATCGAGGAATTTCGTCATAGGCAGCCTTGGCTTCGCAGGGAGCGAAAACGTTTCTGCTGGCGGCGAAAGTTGAACTCTCGGGTGGTTCCCGAGCAGCAGGCCGTATACTCAGAGACCATAAAAAACTTTTCGAGACCCTCAACTTAGAACCAAATTTTGGGAGGGCATCTTTCCGGAGGCGCCCTCAACATTATCGTATCAAAACATCCTGACGACCGTGAGAGTGTAGGATTCCGAATTTCTCTGCATAGTTAAATCTTCATAATATTACTTGTATGTATCAATTCATTGCAACAAAACGTGTTAGCACTTCAATGATAAAAAAATAATGGTTTAAGCGAGAGACATCTTGACTGCGATTGGAAAATGGAAAAACGATCCAGTATCTCGTTTTCGAGGAAGTAGATTCCAAGTCCTGAACTAAACGGGAAATTTCATTTTTTTTGTGTTCTGCGTTCAAGTAAATGATTTTAAATATTTTATTTCCTAATTGCGTCATTTCTTCCAAATTTATCTCATTTTCCCCTGAATTTCCTCGTCTCATCTGAGGACATTCCCCTTCCCCTGGTTGATATCCCAATCGTCCTCGGACGGGGTCTGATACGTCTCAGCGCCCATGAACACTTCCTCCCCCCCGAACACCTCCTCTCCCTCGAAAACCTCCTCCGAGTCCGACTCCCCTAGGCCTAAAGCGAAACGGAAGGGGTAGAGTGACGTTAACGATGCAAGAACGAAAACGAAAAGGAGGAAAGTAGATGTATAGGCCTAGGTACCGCGTTTGCCGATGCGGTCCCACCTTCCTGATTGGTCGCCTACAGTCATGTGACTTCTCACGTTAGTCTGCATTTAGTGTTGCTAGATCCACTGATTCATAACGGATTCTATTGACTTTTTCAGAAAAGCTGTTTCCTGGAACTTTCCGCTATTCCGCCCTATTCACTATTTTTTAGAGGTTTGTTAGTTGAGGGCAAAAGTTAAATACATGGACACGTAAATACTCTTTCTCTTCTTCCTTCTCATGGGTTTGATCACAGGCAGTGTTGCCAAGAAAAAATCTTTCTTTCAATTTTTAGCTCTAAGCTTCGTTGATTCGGCAACCCTGTTGAAAGACTGTGCTACTTGACTGTCATTTCCCCTGAACATCATTAGGTGAACGTTTCCACCGGAATGTAGCTATGCCATGCCTTGTGGGAAAAAAAGAAGTCAGCAAACCGTTTATCAAGTAATTAACGTTATAATAATAGTAATAAACGTCAAGCAATTGATTAATTAAGGTTGGCCATTATCGCTGGAGAACAAGGTCATCATGTCGTCGATATAAAAAGACATGAAGCCTAGACCACTAGATTTGAGTGAATCTTTTTTGGACGACCCGAGCGATCTGGCAACACTGTCCGTACCCTTCAGCAGGACCCGGACGATACAGAAGCTGGAGCAGACCAGGAGAGACGCGACGACGAGGCCTGCAGCCACAGTCGCCAGGTCCCCCGATACCCACTCGCCTTCCCCGCTCTGGAACACTTCAAGAGGAACTTTTTTCAGGGCCAACGAAGATCGTTCTCGTGCGTTCTTCAAAATTTTGGGGAAAGGGGAAAATTTGCAGAGATTTTATTATTTTCCTCTCGTGATGAATAATCCAGAGGCGACAGACGTTCATCACAGTTATGATAATTTCAAATCCAAGGTCGATATTTTGAATATTGGACATCGTCGGACCAAATCGGGATCATGCTCTGGAAATGCTCTGAGTATAGAAAAGTAAGACGCACAAGCGGAGAGATGAACGCGCGACGGCAAGTTTTCCTTCTTCGCGGGGGGGAGGGTGAGCTTGCGTTCCCCGCCGAAATGGTGGACACGGCTCGGCGGATGTCTCGACCTCTGACCTCCGTGGTGAGACGGAAATGCGATCTGCAACAGCCTCTGGAGAAAAAAATAGAATAAAATATATTTCTTATTAATATGCATTTATCTAATTTATTCGTTTTATTCGTTTATTTTTCACAAACCGTTGATTCACTTTCGGTTTTCCTTTCAATTTGACTAGTTTTGTTACAGACATCTATGTTGTCTTTACGAGAAAATACTGTTTGCTCATTTGGCTGCTAGATGTCACTACCCTAGCACCCGTCAGACATGCGCCATTCATACCCAATAACTTTTCCTTTTCGTTTCATGCTGGAATACGCATGGGCATTTCAGCCAGAAAATGCCCGGAAGAGGAAGAGGTTCTTCCGCATTTTTTCGCGGTTATTCTCATCGCGAATCTGACTCGTGTTGCCAGGAAAAGATACTTAGGGCGACTCCTCTTTAAAAAATGACAGTTGACGTCTCTCGGCCATTCACAGTGAGAAATGTCTTATCTTCACTGAAAATGCTGAGCATGAGAATGAAGGAGAATTTAACAGAACCAGAAACATTTTTTTATATCAAGAGGAATGCAAATATCTTTTTTATTTGACCACATTTATTGATTTTTTTTTAGTCATGATATTATGCAACCCTGATTTTTCTCAAGCGAAAAGAAAGTTCGCATATGAACATGAAAATTTCAAACAATTTCTAAGCCGCCAAAACCGGCCCGTGCCGGCTCCACTGTAAGAAATGATCTTCATGCTATCTGTCGAGGAAGATCGTCTCCATCCACTTTCTCTCAGATAATTTTTTGCCATCGTTAAAATCTAAGAGCGAATGATTTTCTTTTTAGCATCCGGGGCATAAGTGGGGGGGGGGGGGGCAATTGCACGAAACAAGAAAGTGTTGACAGAGTGAAGAAAGAAACGCATGCCGATCGTCATGGGACGTTAATAATCGAAGTGCGATCTTTGCAAGGGTAGATAATAGGAGATCGGAAGAGAATAGAACGAATAGGATAGCCGGCAACACTGTCCGCGCAGCCGCTCAGCTACTCCACCATCAGCCGCGGCAGCCAGAAGGAGACTGGCGGCTCCACCGGCGGCTGGCTCACGGCCCAAGGTGATTGGCTGAAAGCTGCACGTGCGCACTGAGGAACGGTTGGTTGCCATGACAATCAACTTTGAATGAAAAAGAATAGAAACAATGAGCTATGTTTTCCGATGTGTCGCTATGGGAATGTCAAATTAAAAGTCAAATGCGTTAAAAATGCAAAAGCTTCCAAACAAAGAAATCTCACGGTCCCTCGCGTGTTTCCAGCTTGCTGCGATCTCAACTGCTGCATTCATGGAGATTTAAAATTCTGATTGAATTTCTTTTTTCGCTTATTTCTTGATGGCGTCATTGCTTGGCATTACATATCCAACTATTTAATTTATCTAGCAGGAAAACATGAAATTAATTTACACCTTGAATTTCATATTTTATATCGGTAATATATAAATACTTAATTATTTCAATTTTGAATTCGTCTTAGGAGCGTGGAACTTTTCACATTTATATTATTCTCCTAAATTTCTCTGAATGTTGCATATTTCAATGGAATTAATATGGAAAGTGTCATACTGTTACGCAAATTTGCTGTTTCGACTGGAAAAAAAAGGAAAAATCGGAGAACCTGAAGAGCGATCGATGTCTTCTTGGGAGTCGGTCGCTCAATGTCGACCAAATTCCCAGATGGAGTCAAAGGATTCGGCAAAGAGTGCTTGGTGGGATTGGCCGAACTCCAGTTCCCCCCAAACCTGCGATCGGAATCGGTGGATTTCGACGAAATTTGCCGCTGTTGGAGATCCGAGAGTCGGAAGAGTCGGAGATCCTGGCACAAATTGGCATAAATATGCAGAACGCCCCAAGCAACAAAAATGACATGATGGATGAAATGCATTTCCCTCGAGCCACTCGGAATTTCCGGATCCTCTTTCATGCTTCAACCTCCACGTCCCATCGAGAATTCTCTGATGTCGATAATATTTCCTCCTAGCAACCCCTTCAGACAATCGACAATCGCACGCACCCTCTATTGCATACCCGTTCCGTTGCGCACCCACGGCGCGAACAAACAGACGCAGATGATCTAAGACCCTTGCAGATGACAGATGACGACCAGCCCGAGCAGACGACGCACCGACAGAGCGTGCATCTAAGACCCCCCAGAGACTTCCCGCATCCGTCACTCTCACCTCCCTGCATCCACGCCCGAAAAAACCTTCGATCCCACCCCATCTCAGCCTTCGACCACGCCGAGTGTAACGACCCGCAAGACCATCGATACAAATCAACCATTGATAGCACGCACGCTGCAGGTGCTGCACCGCATCGATCAAGCCTCCCTCCTCCCCACCCCACCCGCCAACCATGAACCCGGTTCAGTCTCGTTCTAGGCCCTGCCACGGGAACCTCACTCGTTCTCCACGGTTTTTGCCCGCTCAAAATTCCATGGCCCGGCCGTCCTGACCTCGACCAGGTGAGTCCGCTCTATTTATTACTTTCACACCGGAGCAAACTTTCGTCCTGTTCTGCACTCCGAGCGTCGTTGCGAATGAGATCGATGTAATCGATGGGACCAGCTGTGGGTCTCGATCCTGAGAGTACCAATAAGTGCATAGAATACCTGAGCTGTTTTAAGTACTGGCAAGGTTTTATTCGACGCACTTGCAGATGTGTTCAGTAAAATCTTGCGTAGAATTTAAAATTAAATTTGCAGCTGTCAGGCATGAATCATCGCGATAAGATGATTGAAACATTGCTCCGTTTCGCTTCCGGCAACCGGCGGAAACGTCTCGTTTTCGCGAACGCCTTGGCGATCGTCGGTCGCCCGACCAAGCGGTTTCGCCTCCGCTTCGAACCGCTGCGAGGGCAGCCGCTCGGGAGACGTTCCCATTCGACATTAACATAGCCCTTTTCTCGATTATCGGTCGGTGAGTCGGCGTTGACGACGCAACGCTTCGTCCTCGAAGGGCATTCCCTTCGACGATTCTCAAAGGCCACGCGCCAGGTTCACTGAAAAATTTTTTTGTTGCAGCTCGATACGAAAGGAATTAAGTAATAAAACTGCACATACGTAGGCATATACGCAAGCATAAGAGTATGATAAAAGAAGCGTGAAGTAATTTCCCCTGGTTTGCAGGTGGCGCCCTGGCCCGGCGCGCGAAGACCCAGAAGGGCTGGGAGCCCGAAACCCCCGCCACCGAGGTAGAGTCCCAGGTACTCGACAAATACCAGCTGAAGAACAGGATCGGGAAGGGGGCGTACGGGGTGGTGTGGCGAGGACAGGACCGCTCGAGCGGCGGGGCTGTCGCGGTGAAGAAGATCTTCGACGCGTTCCGCAACCGGACGGACGCGCAGCGGACGTTCAGGGAGGTGACGTTCCTGAAGGCTTTCTCGGGGCATCCGAACGTGGTGAGTCTGCTGGACGTGATCCCGGCGGAGAACGGGAGGGACCTGTACCTGGTCTTCGAGCATATGGACATCGACCTGAGCAGTTTGATCAAGAAGCGGAGGCACCTGAAGGACGTGCACGTGAGGTATATCATGTATCAGCTGTTCCTTGCGATCCGGTACATCCACTCGGGGAACGTGATCCACCGCGACCAGAAGCCGTCGAACATCCTGCTGAACAACAACTGCCAAGTGAAGGTGGCCGACTTCGGACTGGCGCGGTCGCTGGCGGTGGACGTGGACGAGGAGGGGAACGCGGACGCGCCGCTCACGGAGTACGTGGCGACGAGGTGGTACCGAGCGCCCGAGATCCTCATGTCCTGTCGGCATTATACGAAGGGCGTGGACATGTGGAGTCTCGGGTGCATCCTGGGGGAGATGCTCAACGGGACGCCGCTCTTCCCGGGGACGTGCACCTTCAGCCAGATCGAGTTGATTCTCAGGTACGTGCCGAGGAGGCAGGGGATGGGGGTTCGGGGACATGCGTATGCGGTGGCGGTCATGGAAGCGGCATCGAGGCCGATGAGGACGCTCAGGGATCTGGTGCCTTATCCGTGTCCGGACGCGCTGAATCTCTTGGAGAAACTGCTGGCTTTCGAGCCGGCGAGGAGGATCGACGCGGATGCAGCTCTCAGGCATCCGTTCGTGTCGCGATTCCATCGGAAGGAGCCGCTGGACCTCGCTGCCGACGTCGTCCCGGTCCTCCGCGAGGACACGCAGCTGTCCATCCGGGAATACCGCGAGGCCATCCGAAACGTGTGGGAGGCCGATTCCAAGCCCTTCTACGAGCAGGACGTCGAAAGCCGTCCCCCGTACCCGGACACCCGCCAACCGCGCGGAAAAACGAAGCATCGCGAAAACGTCACGGCCAACTACGGCGACCCGGTCAACTATGGCGAACCGACCGCTCATCGCCTGCTGCCTTCCGGCAACCACCGCCAAAGGTCTCAGTCGCGAGCCGCTCACGAGCGCCGCGAGCACGCGCGTCTCGTCGCCGGCCACGATCTTCCGCCATCCGAATTGATCGACTCCTTTACAAACGTCGTCCCGTCCCATCCGGGTGTCCAGCGGGTCCGGGTCCGGCTCTTCGATGGGCCAGTCCCCGGTCATCAGGTACCCGTTCCCGGTCACCAGGTACCCGTCCCCGGTCATCAGGTACTCGTCTCGTGTCATCCGGTACCCGTCCCCGGTCACCAGGCACCCGTCCCCGGTCACCAGGCACCCGTCCCCGATAACCAGGTACTCGTCTCATGTCATCCGGTACCCGTCCCCGGTCACCCGGATGCGGACCGGCACCAGCCCAAGTTTTTCAACAACAAAGTGCTGCCCTCAGCGGCTCAATCCAACCTCCGTGCCTACAAATCCTCAAAATCCCACAAGTACATCGACGCCTCCGGACATACGAGGGAGAATGATTCCATTTTCAGAGCCGCCTGATGGCCTCTCCTTCCTTTTTTATATTTGCCGATTTCGACGGGAATTTCCAAATCGGCGCGATCGCCGCATCCGTCCTTCCGGGTCTGTGATTCTGCATGCTAGTCGACAGTCTCTTTCCTCAAAGTCGTGCTGTGATCTGCATCACCCGTGACCCGGCACCTGTCACCTGTCACCTGTCGCCAGTAAACCGAACGATTCTTTGTCTCGACCGGGTTTCATTTACCCGGACTCGTGCGAGCGCCGCACTTCGTAATGATCGTCATGCATATTTTACGCCTTCGATTGAGGGAGCGGCCGGGGGAAGGGGGTGGGGGGAAGTAGGGCAAAAAAAAAAGGGAAGAAACATTTCCGCCGGCACAATTGTTCACGGATCAACATTAAGCAGACCGATCGATTAAGATCAATGGCTAATGAGTCTCTCCACTGGGAGAATAATGCTCGCCCCCACGCCCTTTCGTTCTTGCCTGCTGGTTCAGCTCCATGGAACCGGTCATTTCTTTTTCCCCCACTCTTTTCAATCGGTCAAATTCTATCGGAATTTCATGGAAGCAATGAGAAATTGTGCAATGAAATTTGGCATAGACATGAATGCTCGACTGCTTCGTGAGTCGCCGCCTCGTCCCAATTCGCAGAAAATATTTCGTTTCCGCGATTTTCTTACAAATTTCACGTAAAGGTTAAAAATCTCAATGACTTCTTTAATGCGAAAATTGCACTATAGTCGAAGAAAGGAATAAAAATTGAGCCGGAAACAGATTTGCACAGCAGTTCTGCAACCCATTTGCACTCTCACAAGGAGTTGCGCACCCTCTAGTGACCCTAGCTCGGTGTCGCGCCCCCTTTCTCTCTGAGAGGAATACCTAGAAATTAAACTTACCCCACGGATGATTTTTTCATGCGATGGTTGAAAAAATTGGAAACGGTTTGCAACGTTTTAGGGACCGGGTCACAGCTAGGATTATCGTTCGCGTACTTTAATGAGAACGCCCACATGCTTCCGAGCCCACAAATGATCGAATCTGGACTGGGCGGTAACAATAAAGGCACAAATCTCATTTTAAAAGACGTGACAGAGAAATGTCTTCAGAAATTTTGCTCTGCCAGGAGAACCCAGCTCTTCTGCGTCATTGAGTTTCTTCAACTATTTATTTAGACAGAACGAGTGCACGGACATTACTTTCATCGAGCATTCAAGTTACAGCCCACAGGGACGCACGATTCATTTTTCATCTTCATTCGAATCGTAGGAAATAGCCGGCGGAAATGTATACCCCTTGAAGAAAGGAATCGAATTAAAAAGTCTGCCTGGGATTGCTTTCATTTAGTCTTGTACTCCAGGAGAAAGACCTGAAAGACCTGAAGGAATGTGACCTTTTTCTAGTAAAAATAATCGATAGATGAATAAAAAATATTCCATAATGTTTGAAATTGCCGACCGTAGGGGATAAAAAAAACTCATATGACCTGTCGCGCCCCCCCTGGGACCCTCTTGCACCCCCCTTAGGGGTCGCGCCCCCCAGTTTGAGAACCCCTGAGTTAAGGAGATACGGAAGACCAACGAGGAAATGCCCCAATCCTCCATGAATCAGGTAAGCGAAACACAAAAGCTGATCGGAATCGGGGGAAGGAGGGAGTGGCGTCTCGCAAATGGGGGCAGGGTGGACCCACCGCTTGCATGATGCAATAATGGTGCAGTCATGCAATAATAGTGCAATTATGCAACTTTGTCAGTTTTTTTCCGATTTCAGCTAATCTAGTGTTGAGCGGTTTTTCGGCTGCTGGACATGGAAGCAATTTCGGACATGAGATTTCTAATTTCGACTATGGAATTTGGAGGGGACTGAGATCACGCCGGTTTAATATTCACAGAATATTTCAGCACTCATAGCACGGATTCAACAATAATGTTGAAACCTGTCTTATTTCAACATTAAGCCGATGTTGATGTTTCATGTTGCGGTCGACGTTTTTAAGCATTGACTCAATATGATTAATTTTGACATTTCGAAATTGCCTCAATATGTTGTTCGGACCGGATCGTGAAGCAAAACCCGTTCAAAAGAGGAATGCCGACACATTCGAGGCTTTATTTCCGAGTCTGGGATTCCCTCAACGCCTCCAAGAGGCTCATCTCCCTCCGTTCTCGAGCGGGCTTCTTCTTCACCTCTAACCCGGGTCGGTTTTTCCCGCTCTCGACCGAGTTCGGCTGAGTTCGGGACGGTGGCAACTGAGATCTTGACTCCCCTTTGATCGTATCCTTGCCGATCCGGGCTGAGCTCAGCTGAGTTCGGGACGGTGGCAACTGAGATCTTGACTCCCCTTTGATCGTATCCTTGCCGATCCGGGCTGAGCTCAGCTGAGTTCGGGGAGCTGGCAACTGAGATCTTGATCTCCCCTTAGTATCTTCTTTGCCGCTCTGAAGCGAGCTCAGGTGGGTTTGGAAGGCTGGCAACTGAGATCTTAATCTCTCTTTGTTCGTACTCTTGCCTTTGTCCTTGCTCTTGTCCTTGTTTTTTGCCTTATCCTTGCTCTCCTCTTTGTCCTTGTCGTTGCCCTTCTCCGGCGTCTTGTCCTTGTCCTTTCGCCAAAAGCCCGACTTCTTGTCGTTCTCTTCCATGAATGTCCTTGAGGTCTTTTGTGACCTTTGCTCCCCTTGTCCCCTTGTATGTCTCAGTGAAATTGCAACGGAACCGTGATGGTGCCGAGTTTCACAGAAATTAATATCTCTTGAATGCGACGGAAAAAAAAACTATCAATAAAAACTAGCATGAAAAATAATAATGCTAATCTTAAAAAAAAACGTAATAAATGGGCGATTGAAGAAAAGAAGCAAGGAAACGAGGAAAACCTCCAAAGATATACAATTCGACAGAAGTAAAGAAAAAAGCTAAATAGGATTTTTTTTTTAAGTGGAGGGAACTTGAATGGGTGCGAGGACAGGCGAGAAAAAAAGCTATTTTAATTGCTAAAAAAGAATCAATGTAAATTAATTCCACAGACTTAATTTCATTTGCTTTTGGTCTTTGCTTTTGCAATTTTCTTTTCCAATTCATTGCTTTACCGTGCCTCCTTCTATGAATTAAAATAACCAGCCCACCCCAGAGCCAAATGCCACAGCTGAGCTGCTCGATATGCAATATGGTGTGATTTTATTTAAGCATTAAATTTATACCGAAAATGAAAACATGTAAGACGGTATGGCGTACCTAGAGTCCGGCTTGGGGTGTTCGGATGACTCAGGTTCCTTCTTCAGACTGACTTTGTGTGTCTGGGTGCCTTAAGAGGGTGGGTACCTTTAGAGGGTGGGTACCTCTGGGTTTCTTGCTTGTCTCGCAGCGGGTGAGTGGCTTCAGCACCTGCTACAATGAGATCATGGACACTCGGATGCACAATCCATGACCTCTTCAGAAAGACGGCACAATAGGAGAGACGCTTCTATAGGTTAAATGATTATCGGGATTGTTGAGGTGGAACTGTCGAGTCGGCGAAAGAAGAAATGTCAATCTGATGTGCTGTTTCCTCCGAGAATGAAATGGAGCTGCAGATTTTCCTTTGCAAGGATTCTTGCGTCCTGATTGTGCAGTGCGACGAGCCAGGAAAGTAAAGGAGCAAGGCAAAGCGTTGTCCAGTATAGCTTTCTTTTGAGTTCGAGAAATAAAGGGGAATCGGAAGATTGGAGGTGGGAGGGTGAAGCCTGCGGATCCTCTGCGCGGAGGGGGCACCCTCCTCACTATTCTCCTCTTAGAGTTTCCCTCTTTCACATTTACGTGTATTTATGGTTAATTTTTACTGTCTTTTTTTTTAAATGATTATATATCGAGGTCATGATGCGCGGTAGAGACCGGTGAACTTTGAAGCATTTCCTTTTAAGTTTTGGTGGAAGCCTTGCGCTGACGAACGCACACACACCCGGTGGTGCCCAAGATCGAAGATTCAGCTCATTAATTCACATTAGTTACGTAGATAAAAGAGTGAAGCAGCAGAATAAATATCCCAAGGAAGCTCCAGCTTCATGGATGAGCCTTCTTCAGGGAAAGGAGAGAGAAGACGTGGCAGAAGGGGAGCGAAAAAGACAAGAATGTCCGCAAACGTATGAAAGAGACTCAAAAATCCATAGTTCAGCTTTGAATCCATAAGAGCATAGTTGCCCACCGCAAGCTCCTTCGATCGTACATCCATTACTTCTGAGCCGGTTGGAAGCAAGTGAAATTAAATTATAGCCTAGAGAAAAGGAAGACCAAGATTGAAAGGGCGGAAGTGACGCAAAATGACCTTTGATTTAAGGAACGATTAATCGAAAGATTAGATGAATGAATGAATGTTAACAATGTGGAAACTATGGATTTGGGAGTCCCTTTTGTATCCTCTGCGACTTCATCCGTTCGTTTTACTCTTTTAATCTTCTGCCATTGACGCATTTCGTCTTGGAACTGCAGTGGTGTGCGTGTTGAAAATTTTTTTTTCCGACTTTGAAGTTTCAAGATTCGCAGTATGACGGACATCGCGCGAGTGCACGAGGAGCCTCTTTTCTTCTTCGAGGCGTTAATGAGGCTTTAATATGATAATAGGCGGGACGTCACCTGGTAGATAGGCCGAGCGATCGAACAGCTATTCCCGGCCTGTCAGCATTTCATCAGTCAACGTCCCTCTTCGTGAATATTGTAGAGCGGCGAGGATGAAATTTATTCTAGGAGAGTCCGGAAGGGTCGCCGACTGTCGTCGCCTCCATCCGTTTCTTACACAGGAAGGAACCCGATCGGAAACGTCAGACATGGGTTCCCACTTTACCTGTGGAGACGCATGCAGACGCATGCAGACGGACCCATCGCATGCATCACGGTCCCACGAGGAACACGCAAAGAGGCTAAAAGGCCTTTAACCACGGGCAGAATCGTCTTTTCTTCTTTTCCCGCTCTTTCATGCCGAAACCTCATTCAGGCGGGAAGGCCTTGGGATGAAGTGCTTTCCGAGTCCACGAACGACCTTTCGCTAAAGGTTTATATATTTTCCGTTCCTTCCCGTCTCGCCTCTGATCTTGCATTCGCCAATGCGCGTCCCCTGTCTGTAGGGTTGGGTAGTAACGCGTTACTGTAACATGTTACACATTATATGGTAATCGGTAATCGTTCGGTCGAGTAATGTAATGGTCATGACTGCTGGCGAAAAATGACAAAAAAGTCTCCTTTCTTGTTTGCTCTCGCATTATGCTTTTTTTTAATAGCCTGGTGGTGATAGTGAGCTTGTCATAGTGACAAAATATGAAGCGTAGCTGTAACGAGTTACTTAAAAAAAAGGGAACTCGTAACGCAAACTAGTTCCTTTTCAATAGTAACGTGCACATCCATGTCTGTCGGTCTCATTCTGGGGTCCCTGTTGGCCTCCCTTTGGTCTCCCGTTGACTTCCCGGGAACATCCAAATATGGAAACGAGGTAAAGGGCTTTGCTCCACCGTCTTCGATGCCGAAGACAATGTTCGCTTTTCCTTGCACAGTGAATCGTGATAATTGTGATCATTTCTCTCTTCGGCTGAGATGCACCTGCTTTTTCCGCTTTTAGAGTTGGAATGAGGATCTCGAGAAATGCATTTAGTTTCATTTCTGAGTTTTTCTTCTCGGATGTTTATTTTCAATTTAAATGAGTTTCAGGGGAAAGCGATTGCAAGGCATTCTCAGACGTTTTGCGTCTGTCGCGAAGGAGGGAGAAAAGCGGGAGCTCTGGGATGTTCTCGAGGGTGTTGCGACCGCTGCCTTCCATCCTGGTGATGGTGTCAGCCGAGTCCTTTTCGGCGAGGGAGGGTGGCGGGGGGGACTGGTCGAGGGAAGAGGGAGGGAGTCGCGGGGGGGACTGGTCGAGGGAGGACGGAGGGGGTCGCTGCCCGGGATCTGTGGAGGATGTCTCCTCGCCGAGGATGGAGTCCTCGTTCGTCGCCTTCTCTCCGTCGGTGGTGCTAGTCTTCTTTCTGTTGTCAGGGCAAGTCTTCTTTTCGGGATTCCGGCCGGGCTTTTCCCTTGGATCTCGTCTGGTTTTCGCCCTGCGGCGCGGGCGAATCTCGCCCCTCTGGCTGAGGCTGGCCTCGAAGGCTTGGAGACTTCCGTCGCTGGGGTCCGACTCGATCGACGGAGAATTCGAGGCACTCGAGGCCCTCGAGGTCCTCGACATCCTCGACATCCTCGACATCCTCGAGTTCCGTCTCCTTCGTTGCGTCAAACAAAACTTCTTTCGAAAGCCGACGAGGAACCGCCGGATTCGGTCCCGATTTCGTTCGGGACTCATCAGCAGAGAAAAAGGCGAAGATGAGAGCCTCGAGAAGTCATGCGAGAGAGGGCACCTTCAGGGGAACGAATCCGGCAAAGGTGGATCGATTAGAACGGGATCGCCATCCCGCAATCATCGGATTCGCGTGACAGAGGACCTTCCCCCCGAATGCATTAATCCCGAGTCGCTTCCACAAAAAAATGGCAAAAAAATCGAGAAAAATGAGAAAGGGGAGAACCCACGACAAGTGCGTGCTTCATCAAGTGCTTCATCAAATGCTTCATCGAGCGCTTTATTAAGTATCTTCGAGGTTCATTTTTAGGAGTTCACCGAATATCTCGCTCGTTCGAAATGCCTCGCTTAAAAATGGTGAAATTTTTTCGAGCTGAGGATTCTTCAAAGAAAAACGGGAATCTCCAACAGCCACCCCGCGAGAAAATGAAACTCGCTCCTACTTACCGTCGGGCTTATTCTGGAAACTCTCTTCTTTTTAAATGTATTCGGTACATATTCGGCGCATGATTGTGCTCCCCACGTTTCTCAAGAATCCCCTATTGAATGCAACGAGTCGAGAAGGGCAGGAGTGGCTGTAGCGTACGACGAGTAAAATGAGACAAAACTATAAAATTTCATTCTTTTTTTTTTGTGGCTGCAGTGGCGTGCCCAAGGGGGGAGGGAGGGGGGGGGGTTGGGGTCATAATCCCCCCCCTTGAGTTAAATTTTATCAGTTTGGTTCTCAAACATTTTTTAATTTGGCCACAAATTCAGGGTGGGTTATCAATTTTCATGTGTCAACCCCCATGTGTCCCCATGGAGATTTTCTGGGCGCTCTACTGTGTGGCTGCCTGCCCTGGTGTTCCATCCTCTTTTATGCACATTCCACGCCTATGCGGTCGCCATGGACGTCCTTCTCGTCCTTATGCCCTCCCAGCACCACGCTTAACTCTACAAGTTTCTTCGTAAAAGTCTAGGGCGTGGAGAAGTCCGACTCGTGCAGCCGTGTCAAACAATTAGTGTTCACAACCAATCATATGGAAATTCCAACGTTGCGAATTCGAATTACTGGGACGACAACGCTTTCGGTACACACGTGGTACTGATGCGGTACTTGCGTGGCACTCCGTTATTTTTGGTATTGCTTAGCGACACAGCCATCGGGTACTTCTTCAGAGGAAGTACTTTTGGTTCTGCTTTCAAGTGATCTTGTACTCATGACTCCCTCGTATTCGAGGACGTGAACCCATACTGCAGGCTGCAGTGGTCCGAGCCACATCGACGGTCAATTACCAGAAATATTGAAGTTGGATCGGTCCAGGGGATCGGCGGGGTCAATCACCGATAAGCATGAATTTTACTCTGAATTTTTAACTCCGGTTGAATTCGTGAAATCGTCAGGTGAGGATTACTTCCGAGCCCAAATTCAAATTCTTTAGCTATTTTAACATCGTGGCAAATTTTTATATTTATTAGTTATTTTTATTATTATTATTTTTACATTGCAGGTCGCTTATTATTAGTATCTGTGAGTGCCATGTGCGACTCTGCAAACTCAGATCATTTGCGTCAATGCATCAAACTTCGATGAAGTGCCTCGAAGTTGAAATGAAAAAATTGCAGATAAAAAAAGGGTGAGGACATTTTATGTCGTGAACACACCGTAGAAAAAACCATGCGAAAATATGCGATACTGAATCAGGAAGTGTGGGTGGCGTGTTGGTTCTGAAAGGCACGGATGTCGCTCAGATAGGTGAGGGACTGCCGGCGGACGACTAGCAGTTCCTTGCGGATGTCCTCTAGGTCCTCCAACTCCTCCGGGTCCTCTTCTTCGTCTTCCGGATCCTCGTCCTTTTCTTGCAATTCCTCTTTCTTGTTCTCTTCGTCCTTTTCCTGCGGATCCTCATTCTTTTCTTGTAAACCCTCGTCCTTTTCCTGCAGATCCTCATCCTTTTCTTGCAAACCCTTGTCCTTTTCCTGCAAATCATCATTCTTTTCTTGCAAATCCTCGTCCTTTTCTTGCAGATCCTCTTTTTTTCCCTGCAAATCCTCGTCCTTTTTCTCCAAATCTTCCTCCTTGTCCTCTAAATCCTCCTCTTTGTCCTCTAAATCCTCTTGTCCCGAGTCCTCTTCCCTGTTCCCGGCCCCCTTTTCCTGGTCCTGGAGCTTGGCGTCGTCGCTGAGGTTGATCCGCTTGTCCAGCACGACCTGGCCCAGCGGCTGGGCGTGGACGATGGCCTGGACCTCCGCCGTCGGCCTGGGAGGCCGACTCGGCCCCCCGATCAGGGCAACGAACTCCGGAGGCGTTTCGCTTCGCTCCGGCTCCTCCAGCTTCGGGAAGGCGCTGGTCGGTCGCGTCGGCTGAGGCGACGGCGGGACTTGGGGCTGGGAGCGTAAGTACTTCACCTGCAAACAGGTCAGGGAGAGTCCAGTTTCCAACAAAAAAAATTATTAGAAATAAATTTATCGCTAAAAAAATATTCAGTGCGATGAAACAGGTGCAATTGGCGAAATAAAAAATTATGTTTCAAGTTTTTATTTTTTTTTGGAGCAAACTATTAATTTTCTAAAAAAAAAATTCCTAATTGCAGATGTGGATACTTTTTAGGCTGACTTTTCGCACGACTTGCTCGCCATGAGTTGCCTTCCACCGAAGCATGTTCCTTCGAAATATTTTAAGAAAGAAAATACAATTTTAGAGACATAATTATGCATTTATTAAGAAACTGGTGTGTAACAGTGGAAGATTACGAATAGTTTTGATCGTCAAGGCCTCTTGCACTGCGATCGACAATACTGCGCATTCCGCCAGGGGAAACGGCCTCAGTCGGAGCGAAGCTTTCGAGCGATCCATCGTCTCAAGCTCAAACCGTCGTCCGTCGCGTCCAAGTCCGAAGATCGGGCCCGAAAATCAAGAGAGTTCTGAGAAATTTGGAGGTTCTTTGAACGCGTGAGGGGCGTCGCGGTCCGGTCCGGCTGAGCGCGGAGTGAGAACCGAGAGTGTCTCGGGGGAGTCTCAACTCCCTCTCGGAGGAGCGGGTGGAGGGTGTTAGGGGGTGTGTCGGCCGCTCTCGGCGTCATCCATTCTGGATGTCGGCTGCCATTTGCCCTCGAGCTAGACGGTTCCGAGTCGCTGCTTTCACTGTCTATTGTTTCTTCCAAGTCGAGAGGAGGGACGTAGATGTCGTTCTGTCTGTCATGCATGCCGTCGTGGTCGGTGAAAGCGTCGTTAGGATATCTATAAAGGTCATGGGGAACGCTTTCGTAACGACCTCCGAAACCAAAGTCGGGACGTTGAAGGGCTATGTCGGAATTTTGTCGACCGAGAGTGTCGTATGAACGTCCACCGCGTCGACCGAAAGCGTCATCAAAACGCCCATAGCGTCGAGAACCGACGGAATCGTCCGAGTCACGTCGCTGTGGCAGTCCGATGACGAAATCAGAGAAGCCGAGGATTACCTTCAATTCCCCGGATTCTTCCACCTGCAGCTCGAAAGTGACGGTGAGGCCCTCGTTGGGCGAGGGCAGCTCGGCGCCGAGGACCTCGTCCAAGTGGATCACGTTCGGGCCCTTCACCTTCGAACACGATATCGGGGTTCGCTTCACCTTGAAGTAGTCCACCTGCAAACAAAATTCTCGTCAGTGATTCCACCTGCACTTCCACCTGCTTTCGCGACTTTTTCAACATGTTGAAAATTCTCAAGATTTCCAAGGAATTTTTGACGTCAGTGAACTTTGATTAAATGTTACAATAACTATTATCATTATCATCCTTATCATCACAATCGTTAGTAATGTCATCATAGCTATCATCACCATTATCATCATTATCAGTATAATGATCTAGATGCATCACTATTATGGACAAATTTTCCCTTGATGAAGCAGACTCTTGAAGCCCAAGGCGTTCCCGGAGACTCAGTGCCAAGAACGCAGACCCTTGTGGCAGCTGGGGTTTCGTGGGAACCCCCCGGATATTCTCCTCCAAGTCGTCGGTGGAGGCTCCTGCTGCTCGTAATGCTAACTCGCAATGCAAGTAATGCATCTCCACCTCCTTCGCGTTCGCGTATGGTGTGACCTGGTCCCGTTTTCTAAAGACGATCGTATCAGGTTTCCCGGCTTCGATGTCCCAGATCGACAGTGGACCCAGAAAAGCTTTCGATCCTCGTTTTTCCTCGACCGGTTCTTGACGATGTCCCTGCCTTTCGTCCGGCCGGGGAGAAGCATTCGCCCGCAAATATTCCCAAACGGGGCAGAAATATGGGTCGGCTTGTGCCAACCCACGGGCAGCGACTTTCGAGACCTCTGGTCGTTTGCATGGCTTGCACAAACTTCCTCCGCACATCGAGTCCATCGGCATGCATCAATCGAGGGTTTCGCGTGCGGTGTCGTCGGCCGATATAAGGACCACCTGCTTGCTGACTTCCGGCCGATTTTCATCGAAGGGTTTTCCCTTTCTCCTTCCTGTCTTTGGCGTTTCTCCTCTGCCGAAAGCCAGGAGCCAGGATGCATGGGTTCTTTGCCGAGGGTTTTCCCAAGCCAGATGATATCTCGGAAACTTAGCAAGCCTCGACTTCCTTTTCTCTTCCTTTCTCCTCGGCGCAAGTCACTTATAATAATGGAAACCATCACAATCGGTGCGTCAAAATGTAGAAAATATTAATTTAAACATTGCGCTGCAGTTTTTCCTGGAAATTCGTTGCGCGACCGGCTTTTACCGGCGAAGAAGTTCCTATCGTGAACTACCAGAGTCATATCCACGGTTCGTTTCAAAAGACTCGCTTCCGCGCTGGCAGGAAGATCCGCTTTCGCAGCTGGAACTCATTTTAACCAGTCGTGCGAAGTGTGCGTAAATGGGCCGCGAGGATGAGGATACGATCAAGGGGTTCATAAGGGATTTCCTTATTACCTGTTTCAACTATTAAATTAAGAAAATTGGTTACCATTAAAAAGCATCTGTCGAGTCGATTCATCGGTCATGCGGTCGAGTTTTCTCATTCGACCTACCACGTCGACAGCGTACGTGATGATGGAGATCGCAAAGTTGCTCGCAGCTGGAATTTCATTTGCACCACTCTGCTTAGATTCGAAAACATTTCAAAGATGGCAATGATGATGATCATTATTTTAATTATCACAATTATTTTCATCATCATCATTATGCCTCTTATAATCACTATTATTATCATCATGATCATCATCGACGATATCTCATCATTAGCTTCAGTGAAGATCATACATTTTTTATCTTAAACGCCAAGATGGCTGGAAAAATGGAACTCCCTCTCGACGCATTTTTTTTTTTTTTTGCTCACCTGGCTCGCCTTCTTTCCCTGTCTGGAGCCGTGGTTGGAGTGCTTGTCGACGCTGGGGAAGCTGGCTCTGTCGTCTGCGGCCACTCCGTTCTCCTGCCTCTCCTTCGCCCCCTGCTTCTGGTCGAGGGGATTTTCCGTGAGATCGGTCGTTTCACAGGTGCAGGCGATATCAATTTATAATTAGACTTGGAGGACGGAAATAAACCGGCTACGTCGTCGAAGACGGATCGATGAAAGGCAATTTCATCCGTCTTCCTGATCTAAAATATTTACGTTTCGTGCAGAGTACGGGCTGTATCGACTGACATGTACACCCAGGTATTATTCATGGAAAATCAGTTTACAGAGCAGTCCGAAACGTGAATTTTGTTTAATTTTAGGACATTCCAGCGTAAGCAGGGCAAAGTGGGATCCAGTTGCAAAGGGAAGTAAAATCTCAACTCCGAGTCGTTCACGAAGATAACTATCTCCGTTCCAGTTTGAAGCACCATGAACGAATTCGATATGCCTTGCTTTCCTTGGCGGTTTTGGGTTTCATCTCGAATAAAATTGGAATCGGTAAAAACATGGACGCAAACGCGAAGAGAAGGCCAATTTTCTCTCACAATCTGCTGGCAGAGGTGATACGGATGCCTCGGAGTCTCGGGGGGCCTCGGCGTCGTCAACCGGCTGGAGTTCGCCTTCGGGCTCTGCGCCGCCGTCGATCCGCGACTCCGACTGCATCATAATCACGATTTAATTCAGTTAATTCAAATTCCGTCATCGATTTCGACATGCACTTTGCCGAGTGTGGATAAAGGTCACATTCCGGAACACTATCACCTCGCGAGTCTCGATACACATGTTTTTTGCCGAATGATCGCTGTTCAATTTTCGAGATAGCACTTAATTTTTTATCCTCACGAAATCATGAATTTTTTGCGAATGAATGAGATATTTATTTAATTATGGGGGATTTATTTTTGCCCGGGATAAAAGAGTTTCATCGTTTCCAAAAAATATCGATGGAGAAGACCTGAGGAGGCGGGAGTTGAGGTCGTGGTCGGGGTTGGAGTTGTCCACCCGCTTCGTCACGATGATGTCCGCCATCCGGTGGAGCATGCGGGAGTTGTCGCGGCGGATCCGGTCGCACCGCTCCTCCTCCAGCTGCAGCCGCTTCAGTCGCATCTGCAGGTGCGTGTAGACCTGCGGCGGGCGGGAGTCGATCGCTGGCAGCGCCCCTGTTACCTGGAGAGAGTAGAGACCTTCGCGGGTGGGGTTTCGAGCCGAGACCGCGGTACCGTTCGCGAAAATGCGATCGCAAATTAGACTCGAAAATGTACCTGGAAAAAAATTTTTTTTTTTGCCAGTGAAGGAAACTTCGCGCTTGTGTCTCAAATTTCAATTTTCGCATTCAATTAGAGCCGCGATTTTTTTTTGCAATTCTCTCAAGAGATCATGTCGGTATCACGTTCTCTTTCTCTGCTGGATCCCATTTGCAGACAGTTTTTTTACTTTGTCCAACTTTGTTCAAAAGAAAATTTTATCCAAAATCAAGTTGGAAAAAAAGAGACTCACAGGATGAAAGCAACAGTTTTTTCGCACGCGTGCGATACACACCCGACAAAGGAAACCCAAGATTCCAGGTGCAGAATCCAGGTATGCAGGATGTGCAGAAACTCTCTCGCGGATTTTATTTACTTAAAATCATAGAGCCAGAGTCTCATGCTATGTGATTTAAGATTTTAAAATAATTCTGCTTCCTAATGAAACGTACTGGGAGGATGGAATCCGGGGAAAGCAAGGGAGAAAGAAATGAAAGGAAATATCTCCTCTTCCCTCCTCCTTCCTCTTCCCCCCTCCCCCACCTCCATTCTTCATCTTCCCCCCTCCCCCCTCCATCCTTCATCTTCCCCCCTTTCCGCCCTCGTGAACAGCATCCCCACGGAAGTGATGCATCGTGTATCCAAATTTCGCTCGGTCGCGTACAGCTGCACTACGACGCCAACGAAGTCGATTGTGATTGGATCGAAAGAGCAACCCATCGCGCCGACCTTCCCGCTTTCGCTTACCTTCTTGCGATGTTCCTTGTACCGCTTCTCCCTCCACGGCTTCTCCAGCAACTGGTCCCGTCGATTAAACATGTTCCCTGCAAAGACGAGATCTCAGATTCGAATTTCCGTCGCGAGAAGGGGGGGGGGGGGCGATCGCGTGCACGGGGGATTGCGATCGATCCGCGGTCGCGTGGAGACTAGGGCAGGTCTTCGTTGCCTCGCGAGTTTTCTCCCCCGCCCCGCTCCCCCATCCACCGCATTTAGAACTTAGTTGCAAATTTGCGAGAATCCGAGAGAGACGAGTCTTAATACTTCGCAACGGTCGAATTCCGACGTTTCGATGCGTCGAGTGGATCCGTCGAGGAGGGAAACCTTTTTTGCATCGCGCAAAAAAAAAAGATTATCGCACATCGCAAAAAAGGATATTTGCACGTCGCAAAAAATATATCTGCACAATGCAAAAAAAATTCGCGATGAGATCGGGCGGGGTGAACACGACACGAAGATATCGCAATCACCCACTAATTAAGACAGACGACCGAGAGGGATATCCAAAGTGCCATCGCGCCTGAATAATTCAGGCACCGCAGCAAACAGGCACAAGCACCACGAAGACACCGGGACAGGTGAGTAAGACGGACTGGGAGGGGGAAACGCAGAGGAAATTCCGATAATTCTGCATGATCGATGCACGCGATGCGCACGCGCCCCCCCCCCCAGCGCCCCCCCCCCTCTACCCCCCCCCCCCCCCACACACCTTTGTCCCCCCCCCCCCGGCCCCCTCCTTCCACGGCAACTGCTTGCGACGGAAAGAAAAATGACTTTGAATCTGCGGTCGCCAAATTTCCAAATATAGCAATGCAATGAAGACTGAGTTAAGTGCTAAATCGTTAAAAACTGCACGAGGAGAGACGACCCATTACCATCAGCCGGCCCTTCCTCTGCAAAACTATATAAACTGTTTTCCTCGTAAGAAGACGGTCGGCCGACCGTCTGAGCGGAAAGGGGATGCAAAGAGGGAAACGGAAACGGCCAGCTGCGTTCGAACGGAGAGAGGAGATGGCGGGGGGGGGGGGGAGCGTCCACTCGTGGATGCTGATGTCATGCGAGGGAGGCAGTCTCTGACCGTGCACTCGGCGTCTGCTTCAGAGGATCCAACAAACTTTCCTTCTCTGCTTATTCTTTTGTTTAGGGAAAGAAGGAAGCGTAGTGGAGTTCCAATAGACAGGTATGATCGCGGCCTCGCGACAGCAATTCGAGCATACTTTCCGAATGTTAAGGGCATGGCTATAATTGAGTTCATCGAGGAATTTTTAAATTAGCAGTGGGATCGGGATACCCGTAAAATTACTCAATTACTCCTGGATTCAATTTGCGTGCAACAATACAGCCGAAAGAGCAAGTGAGTCACGTTCCCATTGTCGTCGCCGAGCAACACGAAATCTAAGAAAATTTCTCTCTCGACCCGTTCGCTCTAAGACGGACGGGGAAAGGTCTAGCTCCATGACAAGAAGCGTGTCGACCAGATCGTCGAGCGTTTCGACCCGCGTCGACCGGCTCCACGGCTTGGGAACCACGGCTCGGAATCGGAAGAAGGCGTTCCTGGACTCGATCCGGCTGGACCCTGCGAAGTGGCGGCTTCAGGGCGGCATCGAAGCCGGCAACCGCCTCTTGCACGCCCTCCCGAAGTTCCTTGCCGATCGCATCGTCGCGGACCAGAATACGACACGGAGTCCGAGTTCTCGAGGCTCGACCTACTCCGCCTTCGGCGACCGATCCGCCCAGGCCAGCCCCCCGCGCACCACAGCCCGCAGCCCTCCATACACCACGGCCGCCAGCCCCCCACGCAACACAGCCCGCAGCCCCCCGCGCACCACAACCCGCAGCTCTCCGTACACTACGGTCCGCACATCCCCGCGCACCACAGCCCGCAGCTCTCCGTACACCACGGCCCGTTCATCGACTCGGACCGCATGGACCTCCAGCAGCACTTCCGGTTCCCACTCTCTGAGTCTCGACCGTACCTCCACCACGCCTTCCTCGACCTTTTCCCCGTCGACCACCAGTCGTTCCAGAAGCGGAGGGAGTTCCCCGATCGGATCTCACGGTCGCCACGCGCGTCCGACGACCGGCAAGCCGACGCCGTTCCGTCCTCGGCCGTTTCGTTCCGCTCGCAAGCGCACGACACGGCCGACGACTCGTCCGAAAACGACCGGACGGGGAAAGACCTCGACGACCACGCACGGATCGCACAGCGCATCGGCGACGACATTCTCCTCCGCGAAGACCCCAACCCTCGCACGGTCGCATCGCGCTCCATACCCACCGGCAAAGCGACCTCCTCTGCCGAAGAAGCCTGCCCACTGGCCCCCAAACCACCAGAAACATCCCAGCTCAAAGTGGCACCCGAGCCAGAAATGGTACCCAAGCCAGAAATGGTACCCGAGCCAGAAATGGTACCCGAGCCAGAAGAAGCACCACATCCCCCCTGCACACAAGAAAAGACGCTCACTTCCCAAGCCGATCTCAAGTTTGAGCAGAATTTCCCACCGACCCCGAAAAACGACCAGAAATCCCTCCATCCCTAAAACACCAAATAGAACCACTCTTCCGACCTCCAAAGCTCTACGGCTTCCCAGTAGACCCTCTCGAAAACCCCTCCCACCGACAAAGCATCTACCCTCCAAGCAACATCCACCCCCACCCTCCAAGCAACATCCACCCTCCGAGCAACATCCGCACTCTAAGCAACATCCACCCTCCCAGTCGTCCACGCTCGGCCATCCCAAGGCTCCCCCCCCGCCCCCCAAATCAGACGACGTGGGCGTCCAGGTCCCCGACACCGAGTGGCTCGCCGCCCTCGAATGCCACATCTCCACTTGGGGCTCCCGAGGCCCCATCCCCTCCGACGCCTCCAAGGCGAAGACCAAGAAGATCAAGAAGCTCATCCTGCGAAGGAAGGCGCCTCGCACTCGAATCGCCGGAGCGAAAGTCCTCAGCAGCAACCCCACGTTACATCCGGTCAGACCGATCCTCATCCTGCCGGAAGAGACCTGTAAATCGACCCGTGTCGCATCCGGAACGAGGGCTTCCGACTCCAAACGCAGCTTCTTCCGCAACATATTTTCCTTCGTTCCCGGCAAGACCAAGAAGAAACCCCCGCTTTCGAAGCGATCCGACGCCACGAAGAAACGACAATCGTCGACAGACGGAGCCGACACGGGGACCCGTCGGCCCGACCCGCCACCACGCAGAAGCGTCTCGAAGTTCTCTCTCCCTCCTCGCGACCCGACGCGCAAAGGCCCACAGACTCCCTGCCACCGGACGCTCCCCACCGACTCCACCGGATGCGGACCGGATCCGAACTCCACCCTCGAAGGGTCCCCGTGCGATCCATCGCATCCGAGAAACGAGAAACCTCTACCCTCCCGTGGCAAGTCCCAGGCGACCCCCCTTGTCGACCCCGCGGCGACCCCCCACCCGTCCGGGGCACGGAGCTTCGCCCACCACCTCCTCCAGCCGCTGAGGGGATTCGGCAACGCCGTGCAGAAACTCAAGGGCCGGGGACCTCTCGGGTGGTCCCGGTGGACGAGCGGGATCGCGCAGGGCGGGCCTACCGAGGGCGGGCTCGGGAAGGTCCAAGGGAAGGCGAAGGAATCGGGCACGAACCGAGAGACCGACTCCGTTTCCGTCGGTCGTCGCCACGACACGCCGCACAAGATCGTCTCGAAGGAGCAGCAGTTCTACGTCCTCTTCTGATCTCCTTTCGTGGAACTCCTATGATTTCTTTCGGTGATACTCTCTCGTGATACCCTTACCACGATGGTGGCCGCGTTTCATTCCACTCGCCAGATTAAGGGTTGATGAAAATCGAAAAAGCCATTCGGAATATGTTAGCTTTATTTTCCGAATCTCCTCGTTCGCCGTCGACTTCTCCACCGGCTACTTTTCACGTTTCAGAGCGGTCCCCTGCAGATCTTCGGATGAGACTTTTTCTAAGGCGATTCCATCATTCATTCGAATCCCACTCGAGGTTGCTCTTCCGGATGGGTTGTGGTTACAGGTGACACTCGAGGTTGCTCTTCCAGATGAAGGGTGGTTACAGGTGACACTCGAGGTTGCTCATCCGGATGGGTTGTGGTTACAGGTGACACTTGAGGTTGCTCTTCCGGATGAAGGGTGGTTGCAGGTGACGCTCGAGGTTGCTCTTCCAGATGAAGGGTGGTTGCAGGTGACGCTCGAGGTTGCTCTTCCGGATGAAGGGTGGTTGCAGGTGACGCTCGAGGTTGCTCTTCCGGATGAAGGGTGGTTGCATGTGACGCTCGAGGTTGCTCTTCCGGATGGATGGTGGTTGCAGGTGACATCTGACAGTTCGGATCTGATCCAGTTTCACCTACGGAGGATGCTCCATTCTGAAGATCCGTATTCGTGACGGATTCCGGCGCCGGAAGATGCTTCACCTCGGCAACAGGCGCTGCGACTCCCTCGGCGTCCCTTTCGGGCAGGAAGCCCTGCTTCTGCTCGATCGGATTCGCCTCCACCCGCCCCGAAAGATCGCTCGCTGGCATCTGCATCGTGTCGAGAGGAGGCACCTTCTTTCTCTTCCCGAGCGGCTCTTCATTCCTTCCGGGACCGAGAAGAAAAAGAGAGCGGAATCTTTCGCATGCTAGCATGCAAAATGTACCAGCTGACACGAACGGCAAGGGCAAAGACGCGACGAGGTGGAAAACGAGTCAGGGGGCAAAGTGGCTAGCGAGCCTCATCCACCGCACAGGCAATAACGGAGAATCGTAAGAGCGGAGGTTGGAGGATGAAGCCTGCAGATCCTCCGCGCGGAGGGGCCACCATCCTCTCCACTCTCCTCCTCTCGGTTTTCCCGTATCTCATCTCTTTCGAATGGAATCTTTGGAACCGAGTCCACACGCGGCGTTTCCACTAACCTCTTCCCGAGCCTGGCCATCGACTGGTCTCGGTCGCTCGATCCCGATTCCTCGTCGTCGTTGCGAATGGAATCAGGAAGGGGCTTCTGCGCCTTTTTATTCCTCTCCCTCGCCTTCAGGCCGCATAGCCACAGTACCGGATTGCCTGAAACGAAATCGACCTTTTTTAATTTATAAAACTATTGTATTTCCATCTATAGTTTACAGTAAAAAATGTAAATATCGTTTTTAGTCTCTCGTCCTGTTGAATTAAAATACTTCTTAAACGCACCTTTCGGTGGAGCCTACTTCATGATAAAAATTGATGAAGGGAGAAAGAGTTTTATCCGAATGAACGCGAAGCGGCTGAATCCTGCCATTTAACAGATGATAAATCGATGAAATTAAATGCAAATACGTCTATAGAGCTGGACTCGAATGTCACTCCGATCTGCCCGCATTGCAGGCTGCGCATCTTCCACCGCCGTTTCTCAACATTTCTGAGAAATCTTGAGGACTGCAGGGATTTCACCAGGCAAAGAGATTGCCTGAAAATCTCAGGCAAAACATTGCTTTTAGAGGAGACACGACGAAGAAACTCACAGACGGACTCGAAGCAGCTCTCGGATTCCATCCTCTCGACGACCGGCGCCGGACGCCGTCGCGGGGTGGCCGATGCATCATCCGTGGCCGGTGCCTCCCTGTATCCGGGTGCACTCGCTCGCAGTTCCAAGGGTGGCTTCACCACGCCCAGGCCCTCCTTCAGCTTCCCGGGGGGGAGGGTGCCTCGGGTGCGCGCGAGGGCTTGAAGCCCTCGGCAGCCTCGCAGGGGACTCATCGCTGCAAGTCGATTCCCGGCTTCACGGCACCTTCAAGCTCTTTCTTTCTCTATTCTTTATTCGTTCGAGTCCAAATTTTGCTATAGGTTTTCCCGACGAATTTCGGCAAAAGTCCATTGAAATTCGGCAGTGCTCCCGTCTCCTCCCGGTTATCCCATTCAACTTCGGCATTCGCCGTTTCAATTTCGGCGGCGCAAGGGAATATATTGTTCCTGGTAATTAATATGGGAATGAGGGATAGGGAAGGAAAGGGCACAAACACAAAGTTTTTTTTTTGGCGAATAATCATTATTTTATTATGCAAAGGAAAACACATGGACATCTTAACTGATTCTACCCATCGATAAGTTCTCTCCTTAGGCATCTGATCGAGTATGTTTGTGCATGGCGAAACTATGCAAAGCACTTCTGATGGGTGATTTGGGCATGTTGTCGGATTCAAGAAAGGCGAACGTGTCGGCAGAAACTTCACCCGAGCGTTAGGAACGTCATCTGGGACCGAGGCTCGTTTGTGGGGTCTAGCATCATCCACGATGACATAAACCGGTCGATCTGGTGGCGAAATCACGTGTAGATGTCTCAGGAGCTCCTCAAACAATTCCTGGAACGTCAACGATGTGACGCGTTCCTATTGTTCCTTTGCAGTAAAGATTACTCCATGCACGGAAACGAACGTGAACGCATCCTACGCAGACTCGCATCGAGGAGCAGCCGATTTCCGATATTCATTTCCAGTTTGTCATCTTAGAAAATGCTAGATCCCACAAACGAGCCTCGGTTCCGATGACTTTCCTAACGTTCAACTGAAGTTTCTTCCGGCACATTCGCCTGTCTTGAATCCGAAAAAAAGTGCTCAAATCACCCATCATAAGTGCTTCGCGTGGTTTCGCCATGCTCAAACATACTCGATCAGATGCCTAAGGAGAGAACTTATCGATGGGTAGAATCAGTTAAGATGTCCATGTGTTTTCCTTTGCATAATAAAATAACAATTATTCGCCCCCAAAAAATACACCCTATGTGTTTGTGCCCTTTCCTTCCCTATTCCTCATACTCATTAATTCCCAAAAGAAGAGATTCTCTTGTGCTGCCGAAATTGAATGGGGAAATCGGGAGGAGACAGGAACACTGCCGAAATTGAATGGACTTTTACCAAATTTCGTCGGAAAACCTATTAAAATGATTACAATCCATCAATAATGATAATTATTGATTTCCTTCGTTTTTCATTGGCTTCAAAGACTCAACGATCCAGTTCCTCGATTCCTATCGGACTGCGAAGCGAAGGAAATATTTCCTCTATCGCGACTTTGAGTGAAGCCAGCAGACCATTCGGTCGCTGAATGAAATGACGCGTTGAGCGCGGCTCCGGCCACGTGCTTCCTTCGTGCAAGGAAGAACTTGAGTTCACGACGCATTTAGGAGTACTGCGATCGCGGATCGATGAGGGGCGACGGTCGCGCGATAAGCGGTGAAACGTGACGAGAAGTCCTCGGGACACGTGACACCAACTTCTCGAGGAGTCCCAACCGCTACCGGCAATATATACAGATCCCTTTCCCTCGGTGAAAAAAATCTATATTTCGGGGAGATGAAGATAAAAAGGCATTTTTTTGTCAGTGGGGGAAAAAGAATTGAGGAGAGCTGCCTCCGCTTTCATCCATCCGAAGGGAGTGAACGACTCGAGGAGAGCCCCAGCGTTGGGATCATGGAGGAGGGACTTGCACGGCGAGTGGGGGATTGCGGCGTTTCATCGCTGTCGACCCGGAAAAAAGCTGCTTCGTGCTTGTGGTGGTAGGACGCCTTGCCCTTCATGTGAGGGAGGTCGAAGGAGCAGTTCACGTAGTAGCGATTGTTCGGCGTCGCACGATTCGTTTTGGAGTCGGTCGAGTCCAGGTCCGAATCGAAAGACTCCGGACTGCCGAGGTATCGCCGGGTTTCGATGTCGTCTGATGTCGCTTGGGAACGCTTTCCGTCGACGTCGGAGGAAGGCTCGCTCGAGAGGGTGAATGTGCTGCTCGAGATTTCGTCGTCGGTCGACGTGTCGGTCTCTGAGCAGTTCGGAGCCGAGGTCCCCTGTGTCGTTCTAGACGATTCGGCGGTCGTCGACGTGTCGGTCGAGGTCGCAGTCGATTCGGTCCAACTTGTGGCCATCGGATGCGAACCGACTGTGGGCAAGACGATGATCCGCTGCACCGCCAGCTGTTTCGGCGGGACGAGGGTGTCGGCGATGGCCGTGGGGATGGCAGCGAGGCACCGCTGCCAGAGGCGCAGGCCCTCACGAAACTCGCGGAGTCTCTGACGCAGCAGGGACAGGGTCGCCGACTTCAATGTGGGTGGCATTCATCAACGAGTCTCACCTCGATATTTGTCATCGAGGCTGTTGCCACGAAACCATTTCTTACCATGTTGGGCGAAACTAACAAATAAAATTTTTAAGATCCAGTCGCAAAAAAAAAAAAATCTGAAACAAAACTATTTTTCCATGGGGAATATGAACCAACACAGGAAATGGGTCTGGATGGACGTGGGCTTTATTTCAGATGCACCAACACCGAGTGATCACAGTCGAACTAGCATCACAACCTACTGGCCTGCATACAAAACCCAAAGAAATCATATCTAAAACTTTGTCAAGGGACAGAAATCGAAAGGGTAAATAATAAATCCACGAGGCACAACCGTTTTGGCGACGTAAACGAAGAGTCTTCCCGATTCCCAGTGCAGTCAACAGTGACAGAAACCATTTATCAGATAGTGCATTGAGGTTCAAGAATAAAACCTAACAAGAAAAAGTTATTTCAGGAAGAAGAGTTATTTTTCCCCCCCTAATTTCTCCTTAATTTTTCTCCCCTATTTCTCCAATATTACCTCCCATTACCCTCTAAGCTATCAATAGCTCCTTCAAGGACTAAACAAATTATATAAACATGGTATAGTGATAATGGCCAATGGGTAATGATGGAAAGCGAATGTCGCCTGCTAGCGACATTTGCAAACTGTCTTTTCTGTGCCAACTTTGTTTCTGCGATCAAAATTTGTATTCCTACTTGCATAAGCAGACAAGAAAAGCGAGACAGCCAGCAATTAACTAAAGCTGATTTCCTTCGGTTAAGCGAGATCAATCACCTACTTGCCCATCGGGCGATACCGGCCAACGACGTCCTCCAAGCGTCACATCGTGCACGAGCCCTGCCACCCAACCCCCAAATGGTTCGATACCAAACCAGGGTGTGTAATTTCACTACTCCTTTTCAGGTCCTTGCTGAAGTCCCATCACTTTGCCCAGTGCAGTTTGACACTTCATGCAAATTAGGTACATTATTATATTACTCTGCTGCATTCTGAAGGTCTTGAAATGGAATGAATTGAATCAAACTGCAAAACCTGTGATGGACCAGATAGATGGAATGTTCCACTGTCATTTGATGACAGGCAACAAATAACTTTTGACTGGGTATACCAGGTGAGGGAACATGTTTCTGGCAGCCCTTTTTACAAGGAGAAGGTGGGTGAATGAAGAGGGACCTTTCAGAGATGGATTGACAAATAAAATCAAATAAACCCTCATTGCACCACTCATCTTTGGCAGCAGTGGGTACAAGTAGCAAGGCATCTGTGCATTTTTAGCATGCAACAAATTCTTCTGCCAGCCGATGTGCAACACTACTACTACTACTAAAATTAAGTGAGTTACAAATAATCAGAGACTAATAGTTAACTAATGAGGAAAGTAAAGGTCCACAAATGTACCTGAGGGAAAAATATTTTGCAATGACAAAATTAAATATGGATAGGAAAACAGGATTCCATGAAGATTCTCCATGACCTGAAAATGATCAAGCTGCCTTAGAAAATTTGGCACTCTATTTGCTGTGTTGGTTAAAAAATCTTTGAGAAATCTGGGAACAAATCCTGAAGGAATTCAAAATAACTCTCCAAGCAACAGCCATAGAATAACTACACCATATTCACCTGACAGAGGAACCAGCAAATGAAAAAGTTGCCAGGAAACTGCATGTCCTTTCATAAGAGATTCATGGATACGAGACCTGTTCACGCCTGATTTGAACACTTCCCCCCCCCCGTAACGGCATCCTTACCATCAGATGAAACAATTGACCTTGCTCCATTGTTGAACTTACTTCTTGGCAAGTTGTTTTCAAGTCTCTTTGTGAGAAAATTCAATTCACAATGAAACCACTGGCGAAAGAAGTTGAAACAGTCATACAAACCCTTTCCATGGAGGGAAACTCCTACAGGGTGATTCAGAAGAAATGCAAAAATGCGGATGGCACGTTTCAGTCAGATCAATATCCAACGTAATCAACAACATTGGTGAAAAGCGGTTGGCAGCTCATCTTGGCTATCCTGACTCAGTCAGAAAACAGCCAAAGACTGTGAGGACTAAGGCAATGGTCAAGAAAGTCAGTGAAATGGTCATTGGTGAAAATCCAAAGTCCCAAAGAGCAGTGGCGAAGAAGCTTGGAAGAAGCCTTGGATGCGTCAACCAAATAATCCACGAAGATCTGTGCCTTGCAACCCACAGAAAACGGAAAGTCCACAAGCTTCTCCCCAGACACAACCGCGAAAGAAAGACTCATTGTTGGCGGCTCTATGAGAAGTATTTTTCTGGTGAAAAATACAAAAACGTCATCACTCTGGATGAATCACCAATCCATCTCTCTAATTGCAAGACACGAGCCATCTACTATCAACAGAAGTCGGCAGCGGCCGTCGAACTTCTTTACCGAGAGAGGGCAGAGAGTTTCTCACCTGGATTCATGATCATCGCTGCTGTGAGCTACAGAGGCAAACTGGATCTCCGAAAGATTGACAAAAAGGTCAAAATCAATTCCAAATACTATCAAGAACAAGTACTGAGGCCCATGTTTGAAAAAGAAATTCCTTGCTTGTACGGGAAAGCATCTAACCAAGTAAAGTTCCACCAAGACAAGGCCAGCAGCCACTTCTCTAAATCGACTGTGGATTTCCTGGGAAGATTGGAGAAAGAAACCGGAATCGCCACCATTCCTCCCACTCATATCCCTGTGAAGTCATCTGACTGTGCTCCGATGGATTTCTGTGTGTTTGGAGTCCTCGAGCAGTGCCTCACTCGTCGTAGGGTGTCAACTGTGGCTGGTCTATGGAAAGCTTGCAAGGAGGAATGGAAGAAACTTCCTCTCTCCGTGATCCGGCGAGCCCTTCCCCAATGGAAATACCGGTGCCAAGCTGTGTACAAAAACCATGGCAAGCCTATCGAGCATTGCAAGGCATTGTACAAAAATAAATGAAGGATTTCTTGCAAATTGAAAAGTGTTCAAATCAGGCGTGAACAGGTCTCGTATTTTGCTATGTAAAATGGTAAAAAAAAAAAAGGTCAGGTGACTAACAATGACTTGTGTCACCTTAATTCACTGAACATGTATGGAAGAAACCAACAGTCACTGCAGGTAACTCAAGAATGCATGCATGCAGATCCTTGGCAAAATTTGCTGTGCTCCTATCACAGGAATGAAGAGATGGCACTGTGCAGTGACTAGTGGTACAACAGGGCCACAAGGAGGTAGAGCAGGGTGGATGGCAAGGATGCTGCACTGAGTCCAAGACTTGCGACGTGACCCTTCAGCTGCCGCACTCGAAGCTGTGCCACACGTTCATTTGGATTGTAGTCTGAGCTGAACCACAGTCGCATGCATGGCTCATCATCTGCTGTGTACTTCCAGTCATGGTCCCACACCTGAACAAGGAGATGGGGTTAGCTTCTTTAAAATATGTTGTTTGTGTCTAGCCATATTTAGAATTTGAAATACACAACAGAATGACTGCCAAACTTAACACCATGCATGCTATGTCTGAGCTCTGCTAATTTGCTTGTTTTCATTGCTTCCAGTTCTCTTTCCAATTGGGACCCAATCTTTCAGAGTAGTACTGCAGGCCGTAAGGGAATTATTTGTAACACAATCACGAGCCTCTGCCTATTGGGTAAGCGCCCTGGTTTCTGGTCAGTCTCCAGTTGTTGGCCAGTGAGGCTTAAATCCAGCATAATTAGTTAGTCTGGCCGTTTTCAAGCATTCTATCATCTTCCCATATGAGGACCTATTACTAGTGTTATCTGGTTTGCATACAGGATGTCCACTTCCTAAGGGAGTTGTATCAGCATGGCCAAAAACTAGGGTGTTTACCCTATACAGTTTGACAATGACTGGATGGCAGCGCCACCAAGCTATTATTATTAGCTAACCAACAAACTAGGGCCCTAAAGCTTTTCTGATAGGCAGAGTGAGGTTCTTAAGAAAGGAACTTGAAATCATGACATCCATGAAGCACAACTGATGATAAAAGTGAAAATGTGTTCTTCAAGATAAAATGATGTGACAGTCCTGAGATAAGATGTTCATGGCATGAACAAACTGAGCAGAGCTAAGTCCTCTGGCAAGCCTCCTGAGTACTCTCTTGTACAAGCATAATAATAATGTTACAATAAAAGAAGGGGGGAAAAGTGAAAACAGAGCAGAACTCATTTGTGAGAAAAATTTGGCAGTGTGAAGCTGTGGCATTCTTGCAAATGTTGAGAAAAGCTGTGAACTGACACACATGCAAACCGACACACAGATGTCTGAGCAATTGCATAAGTGGTCTCAAGTTTGTTTGAAAGAAAGGATGGTCCCTGAAAAGGTGAACAAATACCTGCCTCATGCATGAAGAACCTGGAAGAATTCGGCAGTGGAGAGGTATGTCAACAGTGGAATCACCTTTTCACAAAAGTTGGAAGAATTCTTGTAGATCTCTTGGAAGGTACGGCAGGTGGAGCCACTGGGGCATCGGGCCTTTCCGTTGGTCCACTCGAAGTCCCGGGACCAGTTTTCAACACAAGTATAGTCATTACGGCAGTCCTCAAACCATCTGTTGCAGTCAGAGGCACATAGTGGGACATCAAGAAACCGTTCCCGTCGGATATTTTTCTTTGGGTTCTGCAAGATGAATTGAATCCACATCAGAAATGGATTAATTAATGCTAGAATGCTGAAGAGAAAGCAAAGGAGTAACATACACAGAAGGAGAAATACAGACAAACACATTTATAAGCGTATGGAGGAGCATTTCTTGGAGGAGCATGCATGTAATGCAGGGTATTTTAGTCCTTTTAGTTTAGGAAACTTATCAATATTGAAGATGTTACTTTTGTTAATATAACAAATTTTTTGCAAGCTTGTAGGATGGTGTGAAAGATGGCAGACGTGTGGGCTTACGTCTGCTGGTGTGCAGGCGATATTGTTCAGGGAACAGACCTCGATGACCCAGGGTCCAACGTTGGGTGAGCACTCATAGAAGCAAAGGTCCTGCATGAAGTGCTTCACACACTCGGGGCTCAATCGACCCTCCCCGACCTTGGGGCAGTGATTGAACTGGAAACCATACATGTCCAGGTTATGCAGTTCCACAGTTGTGTTGTGGGTGCAGCAAGCACGATTCCGCCATGGCTCACACTGCAGAAAGGGAGAACAATTGACACAATTCAATGCTAAGTGAGATGAAACAGACTTTCATTGTTCATTTTGGATTTGAAATTCTGATAGGAAGTGGTGATCACATGATTGATTTCATACAAAGTGTGTAACAAACACATATTTGCAGGCTAGAATCACAATCCTTTTGAACCCATGCAGGAATGCTGGCATGAAGAGAATGATTTAAGCTACTGGCTTCAGTTAGAGCATCATTAAGCTAGTAAACAGAGTAAAAACAATGAAAATCATGTATTGCCATTCTGAATCACCCACCCCAAAAACTAGGCAGGAATGAGCTTTAAAATCACAAGTCCTAACAAGGTATCACATAGTTCCTGCAGCCCTCCAGTCACCTACTTGAGGACAAACCAGGGTAGAACCTCACATGTTTGTGGAGGACATCCTCAGGACCGGGCTCCTTCTTGTGGTACTTGGCATCAATGCACCAGTTGAGCAGTTTGTCAGGATCATCGGTGATGGGGGAGAAACCCCATGAGCACCAAGAGAAATGCAAGAGGATGAGCACAACAACATAGCAACAAGCACTTCTCATCTTCTGTCATCCTCTCCTTCCCATTTCACTCAATTACACATATGGCTTCACCTAAGAGATATATGAAGTTCCTCAATTATGTGACAAAGGGAGAAGGGCATCTAAGGCTTTTTAAGACAGCATCCAACAAAATAAGAGAAACATGACTCCAAATGCCCCAAGGGCTGTCCTTGCACAGGGCAGGATGGAGTCTATCTCATGCACATCACCCCATAGAAACAAGTAAGACAGCAGAAAATGAGGAGAGCCTCCCCATCTCACATCCCCTAGAAAATGACAGATAAAATAGAATGATTGCAATGAGATTCCACATTCAGAAAATGAGAACAATTGAAAAAACACAATAACCAACATAAAAACATATTACAACCTTGCAAACACAGCTGTTTTCATCATAATTGCACTAAATAAATACCAATATGCCTTTGAGCACAGCAACATGCAATGAAGACCAGAAGGCACTAACCATGTGGACTCACAATAAAGCACCACAGCATCATGACTACATGAGTGAAAAGATCATAAGAAGGCTGAAAATTAGAGCTGGTAGTGGCAACGCTGCATGGGGGTGATGACTCAGGGTATGAGCAGACTTAATCATATCAACCCATAGCTGTGCCACCCGTTTATTTGGGTTGTACTCTGGGGTGAACCACAGTCGCATGCATGGTTCATCATCTGGTGTATAGGTGAAGTCATTGTCCCAAACCTGAGGGAAGAAATGAACCTGATCTGACTCAGAACAAAATAAATCAGGCCAAATGCAAATTAGCAGTTGCAAGTCACCAAATCACAAAAAAGTTCACTTATGACCACTTAAAGCTAATGACTTAGTTCATCACTTGGACAGATCAGTCAAAGGTATGCAGTATACAGTTTTTGCACACATCATGTAGGGTACACATCAGCATGAGTGATTATTGGATGGATTTTCCTTTTTTTTTTGGGTAGATTTAAAATACCAACTGAGACCCACAACATAGTTGAGACAGGCTGATACTAATGCCAATCTAACTACCTGTTATGATAGAGCCAAGCCAAATCTACTGAAAACTGAAGTGAGAAATACATTCCAAAGAGCAATTACTTCTGGTGGCTTAATGAGCACCAAAGAATTCAATCATTATATGTCAAGTCTACCTATGTTTATCAATCATTCATCAGCAATGGAGTCTAAAGCATAAGAGTAATCCCTAAACTGTGTGATTGGCATCATTCTCATGTGCACACAAAGAAAGGAACAGAAGATGTCACCGTTTCACAAAAGAATGAAGCTGAATTGTGGAAGACTTTCTCGAAGGTACTGCAGGAGGAGCCATCAGGACAGTATGACTTCCCTTTGATCCACTTGAAGTCCCTTCCCCAGTTCTCAACGCATGTGTAGTCATGCCGACAGTCATTAAACCACCTGTTGCAGTCAATTGCACACAGAGGCACGTGTTGGAACCTCTCCCTGCGAATCTTCTTTGTGTCCTATGAGACGGAGCAAACAACAAAAAAAAGCTGATGTGCGAGAATGTCTACAAAACATTGAGATGAGATGAGTAACTGGTCAAATTAACATATTTGCCAATAGCCAGGTTGTGTGCAGAGGAGAGAATTTAAAAAATCAAAACTTAATTTACAATTATGAGCGAGTCAAAATATTAACATGTTCACTGATGCATGAGTTACTGTTGGCTCATACAGCATGGTGTATACCTATAGACATTTTGGTCCTGCAGTGAAAGTGTTAACACTTATTACAGTGAAGCTCAGGTCTTTATTTTTCTTCACAGCTGACACATGGCCATGTAAAATGTAAATAAAGAATCCAGACTCACAACTTGGCTCTCCAGCAAGCATGCAAGTATGTGATTCTACAAAGGCTCCATGAGAATTTGTTGAAATACAGGTAGTCAAAAGAATAGGGGCTATCAGTTCATTGCATTTTGAAGTATAGGTAGGGAAGATGTATGCATGGATTTGCTTCAGTTTCTAGAAGATGCATTTTGCTGTTTACCTCAAGTACGAAGGATATATACAGACTATGTGCACCTGTTGAACTAGTCAGTTGTACAGGCTCACTATCTCAGGAATATACTTGCATGTGACAAAATAAGAAAGCATGCCATGAGGGGAACAGACCTTCACTACCCAGGGTCCAATGTTGGGAGAGCATTCATAGAAGCAATTATTCTGGATGAAGTGCTTCATGCATTTGTGGCTGAGGTGACCATCCCCAAACCCAGGGCAGTGGTCATACTGAAACCCATACATCTGCAGACCGTGCAACTCCAATGTTGTGTTGTGGGTGCAGCATGAGTGATCTTTCCATGACTCACACTGTAGAGACAAAAGAGTGAAAAAAATTATAGAAGGCCCATTCTCGTGGCTACTATAGTGCAGAATACAAACTGGATAGGAGCTTAGAAACTGCAGAAATAATGAACTAGGCTCCTCTGTTGTATATGAACTTAAAGAAGCTAAAAATCATCTTCAATTTTGAAATTCATCAAAAACAACTTGATGTATATCTTAAATCAGAATATTCACATTCCTCCTTAGCTTACGTCTACCTCTACCAAACTCAGAATGAAATTTTGGGATAAAAGCTCTTCCATCTTAACCCATGGGAATATAATTATGGCTACATCTCATGTTCACTTCATAGCATTTCATTTCAAGGGCAAAATTCTTGGGAATAAATACATTCCAATGGGTTAACCACCCAAACTAAATTTAAAAACTTCATTCATATTCTTCCTACTGAACAATTACTCACAAAGCACTTGAATTCTGCAAATATACAATATCTCATGGTGGAAGTGGAGGAGGAGAATACTTTTTTAATAAGTACAAATACAGAGAGTTTATTCAGATTTCACCTTGGTTTACAACAGCAGAGGAGGCAGGGGTGCAGCCATTCTGTAGTAACTCCAGTATCAACTATGTTTTATTCCTAATATCTCTTCAATATCAGCTTACAACCTTGCTTAAAAACCAATTTGAATAAAAACTTTGATCTGTTCAGAACACAAGAATCTAGGCAAAAGACAAGATTCATAAAAACAGTTTCAGGAAGAGCAGAGAGATTTCAGTTACAGATCATGGATCCTTTTTTCCCCTCCTACTTTGCAGGTGGCTCTTTGTGCGACTGCCCAATGTGTGTACCCAGGTCTTCTGTTATCCTCTTGGCATAGTTTATGGGAATAGGGTTTTTTCACATGACATCACAGATTGGGAGACACTGCCTCCGCGCCATAAATTTACTTTATGTAGCGTGTTCAAGAGTTGGAACCAGAAAGAATCTGTCTCTTTGCCCCTAATGGGAAAACCAAAAACATTGTGTATCAAATAGTTTTAAATAATAGTTTAATAATAATAATAATAACTCAACATTCCCAATAGTTTTGGGAATGTTGAGTTCAGAGAAAATCACAAGATTGGGGTATGGTAAGATATAACCTTATAATGCTTAGCTTGAGGAAAATGATTCCTAGTTGTGCTACAAAAAAGTGTTAAATGAAGGAAATATTTCAATGGGACCTTTGTGAGGGAAAACTAAGAATCTCTACTCCACAAGTGTTGCTCACATTAAGCTGTCAATGACATCAGAATTAATCTTAATCTTAGACCATCAAGCATCATGCAACTATTGTGAGTTTGCTTGCCTAAAGGGCAAACAAACTTCTTGGAATATGACAAACTTGACATTATTTAATTTCTGGAAAATTTCAAACCTATGTCCAGATTGTTTAAAATAGATCTGTGAGAACTGCACGAAAAGGAAACCAACCTGTGCATGAAGTTTATCCTCAGGGCCAGGCTTGCTTTTGTGGTACTTGGCATCGATGCACAAATCAAGAAGCTCTTCAGGATCATCAGTGATGGGGGAGACACCACATGACTGCCCAGACTGATGGAAGAGGATCAACTGCACCAGAAGATACCAAGATGTCTTTCCCATCTCTTATTGCTTTCTTCTTCATATCATTGTACTTTGGTCAAATGATTTCTCATGTTGCAAGAATCTAATAGAATGAAGTTAATCATTTCCACATGCAGACATGACTCAAGCAAGCCAGAGGAAAAAAATCCTTAGGCAAAAGGATCATGACAAGGTGCTTGACAATATATACCACCTTGAATGACTTGAAATTATGATAATGACTAGAATTGTGTTTAAGTCACCAGATGGGTCAATAATGACTAGGGGGTGGATTTTTATGCAAATGCATATTTTTTCGGCAGCCTCCTAGGAGCATAGAGCCCAGATAGGATCATAACAATTTCTGCCATTTTTAAAATGCATATTCTTTAATTTTTCTCAACATGTGCATATTTTGCCCATTTTTAAATATAAAAAAAAGTTTTCCAGGAAAATGTTTCTATACGAGCAACCTATGAAAATGTTCCAGCAGTTATGCATTGGTTGGAGTGGTGAAGCCCCCAAAACTCTGCTCTAAATCCATCAGTGACCACCAACCCTCTTGAGAAGTTTAGGAAATTCTAATTCCCTTTCATTTCCCTTAGCCCTCCATTGGCAAATTCCTGGCTTTGCCGCTGGCTGGGACAAGAATAGTCCAACTATACCTAGTAGAGGCATGTTAATGTACACTGAAGTTCCTTCTTCCAAAAAAGTTGTACTACATTAAAAAAACAAGTTTTTGCATATTTTCCCATATTTATGCATATTTTGGCATTTTTAAGCACATATGTATGTGCATATATTAAGGCTTATTAGTGCATAAAAATCCACTCCCTAATGATGATGCTGCTTTATGCCTGTTAACATGAGCAGAAACACTGATATCCTCAGTTGAAGGAGTCCATGACTTGCCCCTTCCCCTTGAAGGCAGAATTTAGCATAATTGGAGTATGAGCCATTAACTGCAGGTATATATACCATAGCTTTAGGTATTACTATGGTGTTCTTTCCACTACCCTGATACAAAAGGTCAAATAAAATGTAAAAAAAAGTGTTATAGAATACAATGAGAAAAGTCATTCTGATGAATCATCATGTCCCAGAATTATAGATAGGCCTATCTATTGATATATACAACTTGGGTCATGGCTATTTCGAGCAATACAAAGCAAGAGTTTCAATTTGCATGTCTGAGAGACTTAGCATAGAACATATGACACTACATTATATCTCCCAGTAATAACCTGACAAATTAGTTACCTTACATTTAAATGATAGTATGCTGCTCTGAGCCAAAAAGGCTTTAGTTCACATGGCAATTCAACTGTCAGCTTATGACATCTTCAAGATAGATTCTCATTCTATATAATTTAATGCACATTCCATGGTATGCACAAAATCAGTTTAATTTATATGACTCCGAATTCATCATAAGTGGCTGCTGTGATTCCAATAAGAACCCAATAAGAAATCATACAAGTTTCAGGTAAACCAATCCTCAGCTCTGCAAGTAATTTCTGAAGAAGATCAACACTAAATCAAATGGAAGAGGTTTGAATTGAAGAGTAAGTCTGCTCCAGCCTCTTTAGACTTTTAAATTTTGCCAGTTTCAATGTGTCCCATGTCTATGAAATAAATAAATAGAATGGTTGCACTCCAGAAAAGGCATGATAAAAATGAAAAACTCCCTTTGCCTAGAAGGCTAACCTTGCACTAGGCAAGGTGGAGTCAGTGTTTCATAATACACAATATGGAAATGATTTTGGGTATAGGTCATGTAGATACTTAGTCTCCTTCTTAGAGCTTTCCTTTGAAATACAGAAGAAACAAGGGCTTGAAATAAGTCATTGTTTCATAAATAAGGCACCAAAAGCATCTACAATGATGCTCTCAGACAGTGTCACTTTTACTAGGAGCACTCTGGGTGAGCTTACAGGAAATGCTATGAATTATGGGAAACAGAGAAGAAGATTGAAATGCATCTACAAATCCAATGGAGCCACCTTCTTTTCCTGATATTTCTGGATTGATGGGGACAGAACCAAGGAAGGGTACCTGGGCAATTTTTGCCAATTGTTTCCCCCCATCCATAGAAAAGATGTTTGTACACTCTTTGCAATGTGGACAGGTAAAACCACTCATGTTTTCAATCACACCCAGTATAGGTATTCCAGCTTTCTTGCAGAATGTGGCCTCTCTTCGGACATCACCAACTGCAACTGCTTGTGGAGTTGTGACCAAAATTGCACCATCACAATGAACTTGTCGTATATTTTCCATGACAGTGATGTGCTCATCAGATGTGCCAGGTGGTGTATCAATCAGCAGATAGTCCAGATCCCCCCAGAACACATCAGCAAGGAACTGTTTGATCATGGCATTCTTTTTTGGTCCACGCCAGACAACTGGATCATCTCGAGACTGAAGGAGGAATCCAATGGACATGACGGCCAGGTTCTGATCTTCATTAGGGTAAACAGGGACCCATCCCTGTGAACACTGGTGGATGGATTGGCCTTCCAGGCCTAGCAGATAAGGAATGGATGGTCCACACAAATCCACATCAAGGATTCCCACTTTGAATCCCTGTGCTTTCAGACAGAGGGCCAGCTGGCAGGAAATGGTGGACTTTCCTACTCCACCCTTGCCAGACAGGATCACTATCACATGCTTTACTCCTTCCAGCATTATGATGGCTTTCCTAGAACAATGACATTCACATACCATAGCCCATTGTGCTACAGCCTTGGAAGAAAACAGGAGCAGTGGATGTATAGTACAAACCAGTTTTCTTCAAGTACTTACGTGCTTATTCAAATTATAGCCTACTTGAACATTTATGAAATCACAACACACAATTTCCAAACCTCTGCATTCCAGTGTTGTTAATGTTGCCCTGCCAATAAAAACAATTTTGAATTAACATTTGCTCAACCTTCTATCTTGAGCCATGAATAAGACCTATTCATGTCACATTACCTTAGGAATTATCAGCACACTTGAGGCATTACTTCAGACGCACTGGAGGAGACATTACAAAAAACCAATGTTTTTTATACATTTTCTCCAATTCAAATCGGGTCTGGTTATTCACTGATGATTGAACTGTGAAGCAGTTCAGTTCTCATGAGTAATGAGCACAAAATGAAGGAAAAAAGTTGTCAAGGCTTTAGATGAAACTTGCTGACGAAGTTCCACAATACAAGACACCTTCATTGTAAATCTCCAACTCATCACGCGGTGTATAACACAAGAATTTCGATCCTGGCTTACAGCAACGTCGCAGTTACTACGTAATAGCACATAATATATACCAGGGACGTAGAGCACACATGCCCTGCCAGTATAGATTAACACGCTTTTCAAGAAATTGTCTTGCCCAACCTTCATCGCACATGAATGCTGGGATGACTCTTCAATCCGGATTATGATTACATGGATGACTCGCCGAACTCTACCCTTGAAAGGGCTTTTGTATGAGAACGCACTCCTGAATGACCTCGCATGGTGTCTGACAATTGGCCTGCACTTCGTGAGACCATCCATCAACATTGAAAATATTCTCAGGCAATTTTCTGAGGAGACGACGGCGCCAATGCCTACTGGAATGAATCGCACCGTGAGAGTCACCACGTCCAGGAGTACCTTCTAGTCTTCCGCGGAGGACGACGGTGTTGCCGATACCTCGAAATGAGTCCAGCTGGAATAAATTTCAAGACGATTTACGAAAGTTAAGAAGTCGAACGGAAATTATTTTTAAATTAGCACAAATGAATTGAATTGTCGCTTTTTAAAATTCAAAAAGCTGAAAGGCCCACATAGACTTCATTTATTATTATGGGGGATTCAATATTTCAACAGCCAGTATCCACATGTCTGCTGAGGGAATCATGGGTAGCTCTGCGAACACGTGCTCCTGTGTGCATAGCCCTATTCGCCTAAAAGTGGCGTGGATGAAGTCAATGAAGATATGACAGACCAAATAGCGTATAAATAAAGCTATAGAAAGGAAGGTGAGAGGCGTACAAAGAGCAGAATAGTAAGTAGGCTAGCCCCACGTGGTGGAAAGATGTTGAAGAATGACGAAAGCAAAGTATCAACGAATACGAATATTAAGTAACGTAAGTACGCGAAAGTCGACCCGTGCACGAATTTGGACGGAATTCCGGTTCACCTCACGGAACTCACCATTATAATGACATACTGCCCTCTGTGTCTTCGTCTTCGAATCCATGTTTTAAGCGAAGCTTAAATTGTGTCTCACAGAGAATGCATCGTTGTTAATCCATATAGTCAACCGGAAACGAGCTCCTTAAATTACATCATTCTTACTTTAAGTGAGGCACACCTCCATTTCATTCTCATCCTATCTAATGAACTTGGCACAAAATTATCTCATACGTTAAAAAAAGAAGACGCCATTATCCCAGGATCCATTGGGGTAGCTCAGTATTATTATGGTAGCATAAGACGAGTGGGGGGAGGGAGGGGTGCTGGGCATGGCCCTTCCACCCCATACCTTTACGGAGTGACACAGGGATACCCCCCAGTTGGAGCCCTAAACAGAAAGCAAAATCAGATTTTTCATTTCTTTCGTGAAGCAGCATTTTGTTTTCAATTTTCCATGTGCTATTCTTCGGTTGAAATTTTGCCCTTCTTGGGGGGGGGGTCGTTGCCCCCTCAATTATATAATTGGGGGGGCACGTGCACATTTGCCCCATTGAATTCGGCGCCTATGCATTTCGCCATAATGAAATGAAATTAGCTGTCGTTAATTTAGGCTTAGCGTGATGACCTCGGTCCCGTCCTCCAGTGTTGCCGGATCTCGTGCCAGAGTTAAGGCAGATTCATGACTTCTTCAGCCTTAGTATTGGTGTATGGATCTTCTTTTTTTAACGTATGAGATAATTTTGTGCCAAGTTCATTAGATAGGATGAGAATGAAATGGAGGCTAGCAGTGGTCCATCGATTTGGTAGGATGTGCAGATCTCTTATTCGGGCATCCTAAATTAGCAGGATGGCGCCCCCATTGTATCCCATGCTTCCTAGAGGCATTTTCTCCACCTCAGAACTCGTCGAGACGGCTCGAGGAACTCAAGATAGGCTTAACGTTCCTCATCCGCGCTGAAATGGTTCATGAAACTCGAAATAGTCCTCAATTCGGTCTAACGTTGCACGTACTCTTAAAAGGGCCATGAGAGACTGATTAGGTCTGGGATTGGTCTAACGTTACACGTTTTCGACGAGATGTCTCGAAGACCAAGGATTAAGCCTTATAGGCCTAATCGGCCCAGTAAATCGACGATTGAGTTTATTTTGATCGAAATAAGGTAGGCCTAAGCCTCACCCGAAGACAGTCCGTCGGTTTGGCCTAGGCCTAAAGTTAGTGAGTTCCGTAGCGAAGGGGGGGGAGGGGTGTGAGGTTAGGGTTGAAGAAAGGAAAAAATGGTTTTCACATTTCATACCACTTTTTACAACGCTTTCCACTTGATTTAGACTCTTGTCTATGGGATGCTCTTCATGTTCTGGTGTTAACACTGAATTGAAAACACTAGCAAGGGTCAGTGTGAGTTCATTGAGATGTATCTATTGAATGTCCATATTATTCAGATGAGGAATACTAACGTAAGTACGTGAAAGTCGACCTGTGCACGAATTTGGATGGAATTCCGGTTCACTTCACGGACCTCACCATTATAATGACATACTGCCCTCTGTGTCTTCGTCTTCGAATCCATGTTTTAAGCGATGCTTAAAATGTGTCCCACAGAGAATGCATTGTTGTTAATACTTATAGTCAACCAGAAACGAGCTCCTTAAATTACATCATTCTTACTTTAAGTGAGGCACGCTGAGATCATGGTTACAAATGTCCCTGGTATATATTATGTTGTGGTACTTACTGGTGGCTCTAAGCGTTGATGGTCATAAATATAGTGTTCAAAGGTAACTGAAGAGTATGCTGTAAGAAATGGTTACATCATTATGTTCTTGGAATTAGATATTTTAGAGGGTTGGTTTTCTGGACCGAATCACGGTGAGGGTCTCTGAAAGTCGATCCCTTGTTGTAGGCATAGGCAAGTGAAGCACACGCCTAAGGTCGGGAATTCTGCATTCATATGTACAATGCCACTTCTCTGGTTGTGCTAACCGTACATGTATCTTTCCATGGTCAGCCTAAGATTTATATCAAAGGCCATGGATATTCTAATCAAGTTTGACTGTCAAGCAATATCCAGCTAGTCCCCTCTTTTAACCTCCCTCCTGGAGGTACCTCTCAGGCAATTATGCTGGGAATATGCAGTCTGTCCAAAGTCGGTTGTTCCTGGCTCTGCAAGCCAACACGGCGAGCGGCGTGCACGTATAGAGGCTTGCTAAGACCTTCACGCCGGGTGGTGGATCCTTAGTGAGGCTAGGAAGCACGATCACAGGCCCGACTTTGAGGAACCGCAGGGTCGGCTTTCGCACCGTTGGTTCAATTCATGCGTCCAAATATATCATTGCATTTCAATGCTTCTTGCGATATTACTAATGATGCAAAGGCTTTCAAGCTGATATTGTAGATCACAATCCAACTTTTATAGATAAACACACTCATGACACTGCGTGAAGCATTCATTCAGTATGGAGACTATCTTGTGCAGCACGTCATTGTACTAAGGAAACGAGCTCGACTTTCGCGTAATTACTATAGTTGCTATATGCACCCTACCAAAGTATCCCTGAACCCTGGAAAAGGTTCGAAGTTGTGGGTTCTTTAGGAAGCCATGCCTATTCTTTATTAGTGGTACTCACTACCAATACCTGGGATTACATAAGCTGTAAGTGGCAAACATTAGGCAAGTAGGTAGATTTGCTCCCACAGAAAAACTATCTCTTAGAGGTGTAAGTCTGTGGCAAGCTTATCTTATGATGCTTGAATGCTTGACCCTGACATGGCACAGGTTCAGCCTAAGTCTTTGTTATAGCCAATCACATTTTTTCAACGACTATGTATGCAATGTTTCAGATGAGGAAGACACCATTACAATTATTCCATTTTTTTAAACGTGGTTATTCAAACCGCAACATCTTGTCCTTGAGCAAGAAGGGTTTCTGGGCTGACATATTCCCTCATGAGGCAACAAATGATCTTTCTAACCTTCTTGTTGGTCAACCACAAGTCATCTATGCTGGATTCGATCCTACTGCTGGCTCCTTGCATCTTGGGCATCTGGTGGTTATCCAGGCTTTGCTTCATGCGCAAAGAGCAGGTGAGGTTCGAAGTTGTGGGTTCTTTAGGAAGCCATGCCTATTCTTTATTAGTGGTACTCACTACCAATACCTGGGATTACATAAGCTGTAAGTGGCAAACATTAGGCAAGTAGGTAGATTTGCTCCCACAAAAAAACTATCTCTTAGAGGTGTAAGTCTGTGGCAAGCTTATCTTATGATGCTTGAACGCTTGACCCTGACATGGCACAGGTTCAGCCTAAGTCTTTGTTATAGCCAATCACATTTTTTCAACGACTATGTATGCAATTTTTCAGATGAGGAAGACACCATTACAATTATTCCATTTTTTTAAACGTGGTTATTCAAACCGCAACATCTTGTCCTTGAGCAAGAAGGGTTTCTGGGCTGACATATTCCCTCATGAGGCAACAAACGATCTTTCTAACCTTCTTGTTGGTCAACCACAAGTCATCTATGCTGGATTCGATCCTACTGCTGGCTCCTTGCATCTTGGGCATCTGGTGGTTATCCAGGCTTTGCTTCATGCTCAAAGAGCAGGTGAGATCTTTCTAACCTTCTTGTTGGTCAACCACAAGTCATCTATGCTGGATTCGATCCTACTGCTGGCTCCTTGCATCTTGGGCATCTGGTGGTTATCCAGGCTTTGCTTCATGCGCAAAGAGCAGGTGAAGTGCACCATATTATATTTTTCTCTTCAGATTTTGAATCAGAGTTAAACTTTGTTAATGGATTGAACTAATTGCTGTGATTGATATGATGAGAATTGTTAGAGATTATAGTTGATGAAACATTTCCAAAGCAGGTACAAGGGTAGTTTGACAGTGAATGAGAATCTCAAGTATGTGCTTAAGGGTGGCAAGGTGACTCCTATGACAAAGCAGCCTTATAGATGGCTGCAGGCCAAGTTTGAGCATGGTAGCTTGCTCCCATCAGGAGATATAGTACTCAAATTAAAACCATCTTTGGAAAATGGATGAAAATCTTATTGAGCAGCATGCAATGATCCAATATTTGATGCAGAAGGACAAGAATGCAATACAAATTCATGAAGAGCTTGTTGATGCTTACCAGGTCTATGCTTTACCATACAGTATGGTTGGGTGCTGGATCAGTAAATTTTGTTGTGGTTGGCAGTCATTCAAAAGCTAACTGTCCACTGGGGCGACTTTCATGTGTTTTGATGTTTGAAATCAGATCCCAAAGGAAAAAGGTTTTTGACTGATGAAGTGCAGGAGGCTGTGATGAGATGGTTTGACAGCATGCCTTTGGAATTCTGGACTGCTGGTGTAAACAAGTGTAAAGAAAGATGGTTGAAGTGTAGTAGCATTAATGGTGATTAGGTTGAAAAATAAATGGCAGTTAATGGCCCACAGTGCTTCCTTACCGAGATTCTCTCTCATTGTCTAACTACCCTCATGTAAACATTCTGAATTGTCAGTGAAAGAAGTATGAAGGCCTTCTGGCTTCTTGTATCTCTTATGAAGTTATTGAATATTGATCAGTTCTTTCAATTCCTAGTGCTGCTAATTATTTGAAGGTCATAGCGTAATTGGAGTGATAGGAGGAGCAACAGCACTTATAGGGGACCCAACAGGCCGAACAGCAGAGCGTCCTCAACTGGATCACATGACGGTCAGGAGCAATGCCATTCGTCTTGAGAAGCAGCTGAGAAGAATCTTTGACAATCATGAAAAGTACTTCTGGGAGAAATCAGATCCCCTGGTGCCCCTTAAGGTACTCAACAACATGGACTGGTATGAGCAGTTTGGTATTGTGGACTTCCTGCAGGAAGTGGGGCGTCACCTTCGTATGAATGCCATGATCTCACGACAAAGTGTCAAGACCCGGCTTGATGGTTCAGGTGTGGTCATTGATGTCAATACTTTATGCTGTTTGACAGTGAAAGAGATTTTAAAATGAACCTACCTTCTGATAAAAGAAATTACATGCAGGGGAGCTGACATTATTAGTGGGACAAGCTAGACTATGGTGCTTATCTAAATAAGCATGTTTCTGGAGATATTTTGGAGGTTTAGATGTCCCCTCTTCTGAATGAATGAATTTCCATAATTGTATCAGAGGCACTTTTCAAAGTGGGTATGTTAGGTCTTCCATTCAGAGTTAGTGCTCTAGATCAATATTGTCACATGATGGGAACAAACTTCTGTAACACTAAATGGAAATACCTTTCATTCCAGGTTTGTCCTTCACTGAATTCACTTACCAAGCAATGCAGGCCTATGACTGGCTTCATCTGTTCCGCAAGTTCAAGTGCAGAGTGCAGATAGGTGGAAATGACCAGATAGGCAACATTGTCACAGGGCATGATCTACTCAGCCGGGCTGAAAACACTCAGGTCTATGGCCTCACTGTTCCCCTTGTCACAGCTGAATCTGGTGACAAGTATGGAAAGTCAGCTGGCAATGCCTTGTGGCTGGACCCAGAGATGACTTTGCCCTTCGACTTGCACCAATTCTTCCTTCGACTTCCAGACCCTATAGCTGAAACCTTCCTCCGTCTCTTCTCATTCCTTCCACAGAGTCAGGTAGAACAACTAGTGGAAAATCATCTTCTGGCCCCAGAAAAACGAATTCCCCACAAGTACCTTGCTGAGAATGTTGTCACCCTTGTTCATGGTGTAGAAGGGCTCCAGTCAGCACAACGAGCCACAGAAGCCCTGTTCCAGAATTCAGCAGAAGCACTGTGTGATATGAGTCAGGATGAACTGTCTTGTCTGTTACGTGGTGCACCACAAGTGTCCCTCTTGTTAAAGCCAGGCACAACCATCCTGGATGCAGCAATGCAGGCCAAGTGCTTTCTCACGGAAAGGGATGCACATAGAATCATCACCAGCGGGGGATTCTATGTGAATCAGCGCAAGGTCACCAACCCAAACATAGTGTTGATAGAGGGTGAACACATTCTGCCAAACAGGATGACAGTGGCTCGTGTTGGCAAGAAGAGTCATGTCTTGATCCGTTGGGCCATCTAGTCCTGATTTTTCTTTTTCAATTGGATTTTTTTTTATCAACTTTGTTTTGTGGTAAAATGAACACTCCCTGTTACTTCTTAGATTTTTTTTTTCCATGTCTGCGATTTGGTGCCAAAAAACTGTTCAATGTAAACTCCTTTACTAAACAAACATTTGTCATAAGTTTTCCCCTGGTGCTCTTGAAATTGATCATTATTTTCAAGATCTGCTTGTACCTAAAACAGGCTGAATCTTTCAAATGTTGTAGTTTGAACCAGTCCCACAGAAAATGATCATCTAGAGTTGTGATTTTCAAACTTTCTGGTCTGCACCCCTGATGTCTTGATTGGATCTCATCCCTCATCCATCTGATTAGCTAGGTGAAGGGGAATAGAAACTCAGACTCAGAAGTAACAATTTTTGTCAGGAATCTCCATACAACCCAAAGTTTAAAAATTGTGATTTGATCTGGAGAATTTTGCATTAATTACTTTCTTTGTGAATGATACAACACTTCATGATTATATTGCCAGGTCACCATTTCACACGTCCATCAGTCAATCAATCAATCAGGATCTGTTCAACCATCACAAGTCCAGGCTGTGGTCCCAGCATTGTCAGTACCTCATTACTGTACAACTTATTCTTAACAGTAATGGTATGGAGAGATCTCTGGGAAGTGGGCATAAGGACTGTCATCAGCATATGCCAGGTGCTGAACGATGAGTGATCAGGTTGCATCAGAGAAGAAAATGGTGAGGCCAAAGGTGAAGTGGCCAGAGTGGATGTGAGCCTGGATGTGTGGGTGTAGGTGCATTATTGGGAGAAGAGCAAGGGGATCAATATGCAGACTTCATGAGCATTTGTAGGTGTAGGCCATTACAAGGGGTGTTCAGAAAGTAATGTATGCAAAATAAAATTCCTTCATTTCAAATAAAACCAAACATTTCCCATTATCATCCCTTAACATACTCACCACCTAGTGACATACACTTCTCCAATCTTTAGTTTTTGAATCAATTTCCAATCAGTTTTTGAATGCTGCTGAAAAAGGCACTTTGTGTTATGTCCTGCAAAATTTCCTTAACAGCTTTCCAAGATTTAGTATTCTATTAAACTTCCTCCAGACAGACATTACTTAAGAGATAAGAGACAGAAGTCCAGAGATGCTGAATTAGGAAAATTGGGAGTATGGGGAAGGACAGACACCTTTTCTTCCTCCAAAAATAAATTGTGGGAAGAAGCAATATGATGTAGCCACAATTGGGAAAGTCCTGCCTTTGGGCACTGCTTCCTAATTTTTTCCAAAACTTTGGCAGTTTTCTTCTTTTCTTCCCAAACTGGTATGTAAGTGTGGACAGTCTATCTATCTGTCTCCCAGTAGGTAGATAGAGCTCTGAAGTCTAAAGTGACAGTTGTTCTTGGATTATACACCACCAAAGCACAGCATCTTGCCATAGATTGCTGCTTCACTGTTGTTGCTGGACATCCAGAATGATCATCATTGGTAAAATTGTGGGAGCTATAAAAAAAAAAGAGATGCATCCATCTTCTGTTTATGGCTATGGAGGGAGAAGTGTCTCCCATTACTGCATGCAAGTCCTCTTTTATTTGGCTTCCTGGCTCTGAAAGCTGCCTCCTGTTAAACATGTAACATTTTACTGATTTATTTTGGAAAATTGGCCCTTTCAGGTAAGAAGCCAAAACTGAGATCACTTTAAAAATGCATAAAAGCTTCAATATTAATTCTGCAAACCATAACATTTAGTAAAATGATAATCTGAAAACAGAAAACATAATAAAGTAACAAGCAGTTGAGATAGGTATCAAAAGTTGTCGGCATTACTTTTTGAACACCATGACCATCTCCTATCAGAGCACTGAATCTTGGCCCCTCTTGTTATAGCCTTGAGTGACTTGAGAACCTTAATTCATTCATAACCATCCTGCCATTTTCCATCTTATTCACCAAGAAGTGCTAAAACTGAGACTATTCATGGAGTCTGCAGATGCTTGAAATTCAGGAGGTCTGGATAATGAAAAATGTAGGGCTGACTGAATGATAAGCACAGCAGTTTGGAAAAATTACTTTATGACTGATGTTGATGAGCCTGATTCAAGGAAGGTTCATGAACTGCATATTGATGGAGATTATTCAGGAGGGAGTCCAGATGGATGTTCCTGTGAACTGGCATTCCTTCTCCACAAAATAGAGGAGCAAGTGCAGGAGATGTGGCCCATCCTTCCATTGACTGAATGGCTGGGCCTCTGTGTAGAGTGGTAGAGCTGAGAGATGCCGCTTGAGAAGCCCCTTCTCATACAGAAGAATCTGCATGCAGCGGGACACGTCTGTCCGAGTATAGCCTTGATCGAGCAAGAATGCCAGGGTGTCACTGATCCTCACCAAAGGGACACATGTCCAGTGCAGATGCTTCCGCAACTCCGATCGTACTGTCTTTTCATCGATCTGAGCAAACAAGTGTCAGTGGTGACGACAAAAACAACCTTGTAATTATGAAGTGAATGAAATTTTCAACAGATATAAAACACATGAGATGTGAAAGAATTCTTTGTCCAGTTATATCTCAAGAATTGATATATAATATCAATTACTAGGGCTGTCAATTCGATTTGATTAATTGACATTAATTGAATGAAGTATTAATTGTGATTTGAAAATTAGTAGAAATTAATAGAATTTTAATCAACCCCCCAATCTTCCCCTGAATGCCTCTTTTTCCTCTTATAATTTGTTAGTTTTGCAAAACAACCAAAAACAAGTCTTATCAAGGGAATGAAATGTAATCGTCAGTTAGAAGGTAGTCGTTTTCACACTGCTCACTCTTCCTCAAAAATGACTATTTTTGGGAAAAGGGAACGCACAAAAATAAAGTTATCTCTTTCAGACTATTCCAAAAAAAGAAGCTTCCTGACCCATTTGCATCCACAAGCGTACTGGTACACATCCCATATAACCTTACAGGCCTTGCATGTCAGGAGAAGGTATGTGGTAGCAGCGGCCTAGAGCGACCAAAAAGTCACTGGATGTGAATGGGGAAAAGAAAGTTGTAATGAAGGAGCTGAAAGGGAACACACAGAAGGAATAGAGGATTTAGACAGGGACATGGGACAGGAGAGGCAGGGAAGAGGATAATGTAACAACTGGGAGTGAGTGTCGTATGTTTAAGTACACTGGCGAAGGCCTGTGTGAACCCCCAGAAAGTAACTGGGAGTAGGGGAATGCTGAGAACAGACAAGAGAAGAGGAAACTAAAGTGTGAAACCTCCTATTCCTTGCTTTTTCTTCTCTTCTATTTGTGTTGCCCATGAATCAATAATGAATCTTAAATCTCTGCATAATGAAGTGTCACTATAAACCTCCAATAATTTAGATTACATTTTTGCATCCTTCTGGCATATTTCAGCTGGCTACACTGTAATTATTCTCCCACTGATTAGAATGTGTCACATGTAGGATTTACTAGTGCATGTATGGATGGTAACTGATGTTAGCGACTACATCGCCTTGAGTCACTTCCTAAGGCTTGCCTAGGTGTTGGACATGACACAAGCAGAATCATGTCCAACACCTTGGGCATGATTTAAGGAGGAACTAAGGAATAGATTAAAATTCAATTAATCTATTATATTGTTTTATTGATTGACAGCCCAATTAATTACTAGTGATGTGAATTCTTTTTTTGCTCTCACCAGCTATTTAGTGAGAACTCAATGTGCCTGCATAATCAATAAGAGAAATTATTACATGAAGATGATTCAGATGTGAAACTGACCCCAAGTTTAAAAGCCAGAAAGAGGACAGTGTCCTTGCCCCTGGTGCGGTTCTCACCATCGACAAGGAACTTCTCAAACTTCCCCTTGGGAGCAGTGAGGAGGTAGAGGCTGTGGTTAAGTAGCTTCAGTTCACCCAGGAATGCCAGTCGCTTCTGCAACAAATGTAAGTGTTCATCCAATCCATCAAAACACATTCTGGAGATTCTCCATCATTATCACATGAGGCATTGGAGCACCATGTCAATAATTTTTCTCAGCATTTGCAAGACATATCACCTGTCAGTGCGCCATCATATGCAAGACTCAACACTGATTTTTCATGACACTCATCCATCTGTTTAAAGTCACAACTAATTAATCTGACACTACTTAAGTGGGTTATTTCTCAGCAAGCAATGGATTCCTTGTGCTTGAAGAAGTGAATTTTTAAGTAGTGGAGTACCTTGGCCTTCTGCTGGCTGAAGATTAGCCTGAGAACTCGGGGATGACTCTTGAGGGCATCAAACTCAGGCACAGCATCGAGTTCCTTCAGCCTTGCCTGGACAGTTGCTGGGCAGAGAGTGTAGATCTCCATGCATTGCCTGATGCTGGGATCAGAGATGCCAATCTCTCGGCGGAGGAGGACATCTATAGCCTTAAGGGATGAAGGAGGTGACATGAGGACCTTGGGGTAACGCTGGACCACATCCTTCATGGGCTGACCTGCCAGCATGGGAACAGAGGCCAGGATTTCTTCCAGGTGACCTGGCCGTGCCTGAAGCAGGTATGCATGACTCGCTAACTGTCAAAACAGTATTTTTCCATAAAACCACATCATGAATTTTGTCTCATTCAAATGATGCACTTGGTATCATGCTCTTCACAAGCCATGACAAAGCATCATTGAGTCTGTTTCATCTGGAAGGGAGACTCATCTTTGTACTGACTTAGTGTTTGAGGTGTATCAAGACTTCCAATATTTTATAAATGTGGCATGTCAAAAATCCTTGAATATTTTTTCACTGAAATTTCATAGCCCATAGAGAAGCAACCTAAAATGTTTTTGAGCACTGCTTGTTTCCTCATCAAGTAAAATCAGAACCAAATAAATTCAGAGGTGAATTTCAGAGGAATGCAAGCATGCTTCATGCTATCAGTGGCAGCTGTAGACAACAGGAGAATAGGCAATAATTAGATATAGAAGCTCACTTGGATTTGTCTCCTAGTCAAGAGAAATTAGCTTATGAAAACGTGGGCAGAATCATTAGTATGACAATCACTGATAAATACAGGGTGTACAAAAAGTCTCTATCCAATGGGTTAGAGACTCAGAGACCTGCCAATCCTTAGTCCTGGGAAATTCTCATCAAGCCACACAAATGGCTAATACATATTGAGGGGTGCACTATCTTGCTGGAACCACTCGGGTAGAATCTCTCCAAGTCTTAAGTCCAACTCATTTAATGCCTCAAGTGAACTTGAGGCATTAATTCACCTCCTTATACATTGCTCACCATTTAAAGTTCCTTTACAAAAAAAACAGTGCTAACACATGTGTACTCCATAGTCTGCACCACACCATAAGTTTTTGAGATTCAAGCTGTTCAGTCAGTGAAATCCAATATGGATATTTCTGCAACCAGCAGTGCATATTCTGCTTATTAACTTCCCCAGGTACATCTGGTATTCTTTTTGGATGCCTAACAGATCTGAGAAAATGGCTCATTATGCAGGGACATGGATGATCAACAAAAATTAAGCTGACTACATGGACCCAAAAATGTGGCTGACAAACAGCTCCGATTTAAGCCTGTGATGAATATGAAGCAGTTTGGAGAGGACTTAATGAAGAAGGTGGATTGCATAAAAATGCTTTAGTGCAATGAAGCTTTAAATTTCCATTATCACTGCTAAAGGAGGATTAAAGTTTTATTATGATAAAGTCAGTTTTATGCAATTCACCTGAAATTTCCAGGAAGCCCAACTGGTGGAGGTAATGTTGATAATTCTTTTCACCGACTACATCAAAGAGTTAAAGTATACAAACACATTGCTCTTTAATGAGTTCTAGCTCTACTTTCTGGAAAATGAAATACTGAAATGCCATATATAGTGTTTTTGGGCCCATCCCATTGAATCTGATACCTAATATATGATGCCATTGCTGAGTCTTGTCATATCTTCTTCAAGGATTCAAAAAGGAACAAAAATTATATTTAAAAAAAAAATAATGGAGAAAAGCCAAATTGTTCACCTGGAATAATTATCTTATGGAACTTGGAAATGGTAGGACCCAGAGATGTGGATATTGCCTGTCATTATACCTTAATGGACCATGTGAATCAGTCAAAGAGAAACTTCAGGAGGTGCATTAGGTAGAGGTCTGAGGAAGGTGAAGAATGACAACAAAATCTCCATTTTTCATTATTTTCCCCTTGATTGCTTGTTCGACACAAGTGACACATTTTTAATCATAAGATGGAACTTCAGAAACCCAATATTCACTCCATGGGATCCCAAGGATCAATGTGGGTTTCTCCTTCCCCTTCTCACTCTCAACATGCATATGAATTCCATGAATAAAATATTCAAAGACTCTCTTCATGAATAACAACCTGACAACTCATGCCAACAGAGTAAATAAAACCACAGAAGCACAGCAGAGCAACATAATTCTTGAGGAAGAAAGCAGAGGGTGTTATGCTTTGAATGCTCCAAATGCAAATACCATTAATATAATGAAATTTAATCATATAAATATGATTCTGAAAAATCATGAATCCATTCAATTCTGCAGGAATCATTTGTTGTTTTTCATCACACATGAAGAAATCCAGTATATCATCAATAAATCTTTAAAAAAATTACACACCTACTTACATATTTCCACTCCTTAAATTGTATTATACAGTCAGCAGGATGAGTTTCTTCATTCTTATTGGGTCACCCTACAATTTTTTACCTTCTCTGGAGAGAGGTTGAACTCTTCCAGGAGGAGGTGAAGCAGGAGACGGAAGTGGGCAAGGGGCTTGTTCTTGATTCGGGGATGCCTGGTGAGGATCCCTGCACTCTCCTGCTTTGGGATCCCCAGTCGCCACGACAGATAGGATCCTTGCACGGTCTTCAGCAGGTCCTGGAGGCTCTTTATCTCGTAGTCCTTGGATGCTGCCAGTACTTCCTCCTGCACTGCATTTGGTGCCTATAATGCATAAAGTCATCATCACTTGTGAGTTAGAAATAAATGGACATCTGTGTGTTCTTTCAATGTGATCAGCAGAAAAATTCAAGAACCACATTCCCTAACTTTTACCAGATTTTCAAATGAAAACCTGCACAACACATCCACATATTCCTCCATCAACTTTCACCTCTAGCTATAATTTACCATTGCCTCCATTTCCACCTGTCTGACTTCTCCATGGCAACTATTCAGAAATGCATACAGAGGGTGATCATTTAGTCCCAATCTATTTTATTGTTAAACTCAAAATTCTTATAAAAATGCACAATGTGCACTTCACATTGTCAATAAGGAACTAAATAAGTGGTGATAGTAAATTAAAAATCAGTTATTACATTTTTTATTATTACTGAAGTTCACATGATCACCTTTTAAATCTATACAAACTGGAATTGATCTGTTGTTTCCCTGAACGTTCAGGATGTTCAGCATGTCAGGGTTACAGTGTTAACAGCAACATAGATACAATCTCTTAAATCTTCAACATTGAGAACCTTTGTGCTGTAAACCTTTGACTCAATGTACCCCCATACAAAAAAGTCAAAGGTCAGGTCAAGCTCAGGGGATCTTGAAGCCCAAATTTCATTTCATGAACATTGTGCTAGATTATCTAACGAGAAGTTCCTGAACCGTTAGATTGACCAAGGATTGAACAGAATATTGGTTTCAGGATAACCTGACATAATCCCCTAGGATTTTTTGCATGGGGTACATTAAGTCAAGGGTTTACAGCACAAAGGTTCTCAATGCTGAAGATTTAAGAGATCGTATCTATGCTGCTGTTAACACTGTAACCCTGACATGCTGAACATCCTGCATGTTCAGAGCAACAATGGATTGATTCCAGTTATGTATTGATTTGGAAGGTGATCATGTGAAACATCAATAATAAAAAAATGTTAATAACTGATTTTTAATTTACTATTACCAGTTTTATTTAGTTCATTACTGACAATGTGAAGTGCACATTATGCATTTTTGTAAGAATTTTGAGTTTAACAATAAAATAGATTGGGACTTTATAATCACCCTGTACAGATAGATGCTCCATATAATGAACCTCTATAAAATGAATTTTCTTTACTACAAATTTTTTTTCCAGTTCCTGACTGTGCCCATTCACATGCATGTTAAAAGTTTCCCTATGGCAAAGTTCTGTATAACAAATTGTTTCATTTTATGAACTCATTTTTTCATCCAAAGGAACAAAACTGTTCCGTATTGCATAGGTTTAATCTGTAGCACACTTCAGAGCTTATTTCATGCATTCCCATGAAATAAGTTCATCTCATCTAAATTCAGCATGTTTCAGCCCCTTTGAGGGTGGCTGTGGGGAGAAAGTGAGACCTGTCATATAGTCTTAATCCTCTGAGTGAGTAAGATGGGGAAACGAAAAGCTCTCTCCTTTGAGGAGAAGTGGAAAGTCATCCTCGCGGTTCACAAAGGTGGCAAGAAGGACATCGCAATAAGGATCAGGAAGAGTCCAAAATTTTACAAGGTCAGGCAATAGAAGCCTACAACTATCTTTGGTCAGAGGCCAAATGTTGAGCCTGCAACTTTTCAAGCATTGAGTGCTCTGCAGACCACAGCTCAAAGAATTGTCCAGGAAGGAGTGTGGCAGACAACCAATTGGGGATTTTGTTTCTGATGAATAGAGAGCGTTGCTGACTTGTCTGATTTTTATTTAAAATAATTTAGGTACATACATTACTCTTGAGAGCTGGATTTTTGTAATATTGCATATGTTTAGACCTTTGCACTTATTTTATGAATATATGACTTGCTTTTTTTTTTTTTTTTTTTACACTAAGTGACATTTTGAAGTGATATTGACGTAAGTTTAACAGACCTCTTTATTTTTCAGAGAAATGAGGGAAATTCCCGATAACTAATTTTTTTAGTCCATCCCTTTGAGTTTGTTATATGGAGCGTTGACTGTATGAGACAAGTAGAAGTAAAACTGATGATACTAAGTATTAAAAAAAACAGGTGAATGAACAGAACTATAGCAGATTGAAACTATGGACAACTAGCCTTCCATCAGAGACTTCTGATAAGAGAAAATCAAGTTTGAAGACTTAGGAAAGCAAACAATTTTCTTCAATAAGGCAAGTATTGGGAAGGATTTTTGTTGAACTCCTCAGGGGTCCAACTTTGACTGAGCCATTCTCAAAATACACATCACATCCAAATAAAACTGAGACTGACTTGAAAAGGCACAATATGGGACAAGTACCTTCAACAGGGAGAGTAGCCTGAGAGGCAGCTGCTGGACAGTGTGTGGAATGACCCCATGTGCCTGAAGGACACCAACTCTCTTCCTGACCAGATATGGGTAGCTGGGAGCAAGAGAAAAATCATGGAATCATGGTGGTCAAGCTATATCCAAGAGAAAAATTATGATGCTTGATCACTATCATTCCAAACTGGCCTATTAGTACCTATTTTTATATTACCTGTGTAACAACATGTACACATGCTGTATGTACTGCTTTCTCCACCTTCCAGGCAGACCAAAAAATGTCACCATGATTGTTAAAACAGCATAGCACATTTCAATTGGAAAATTTGCCTTTCTGAGTTAAACATTTTGACTAATATGCCAAAGGCTAGCAGCTTTGCTCTTATGCTACATAAAGGCTAGAACTCTGGTGGAAACTTTTTCGCCATCCATAAAGCAATACAGTCATTTGATAGATTGATTTGGGTCAGATCTTTCTCACATCATGGTGCAAGCACACAGTGAAACAATAGCATACTCTCCAGGATGTTTCCAATCTCCTCTTTGCTTAGAAAGATAAAGCAATGACATACTCTTGCTTGCCTTCACCATCACCATGTACTTCTGACATGGGATCTTGACAATATCTCAACTCACTTTCGGATGTGTTGAACCCGCAGGTGCATGCTCCCGAGTTCCAGGAGACAGAGACAGTAGTTCTCAATGGAGACAGGGAGGAGCGAGAGGACCACTGGCTCCATGCACACCTCCTTGGCCCCAACCCCAAAAGACTGCAGGTGCCCATCACATTCAATACCTTTGAAGTACTCAAACAGACTCCAAAACAAATCTTGATAAAATGAAAGGTGACAGGAAAATAAAGCCAGACTCATAAAGAAAATAAAGCTCACACATATCCAATATGTTAAGCAGATAATTAAGCCTTCATTGGCAATGGGGGACAAAGAAACAGATTCCAGGTGAAACATGAAAGAAGAAACTCTCTCAATGAGCAGTAAAATTACATGCTAAACAAGCTTTCATTATCATTTTATCTTTCCTGAGACATTGGCACATATTTGTGTGGTTCATAGTACAATCACCTATCTCTAAGCTGAATTGCAAACAAGCAGAAAGGGACTAGAATGTCTTATGGGTAGGAAATGCTCACAAAAAAAATCCTAAATTTAAACTTAGATAATTTCCACATTGCTTCAGAGTTAGAGTCTAGAACCCTCTTCAAAAACATCAAAGAAGAAGAAGTCACATATCATCTGGCAAGTAAAGAGATGCAACAATATTTTATTGATTAACATAATCTGTTGATTTTTGGTGAATTAATATGTTATCAGATTGACCAATATCACTCAATACGATATATGACCTGCTAATAACCAATATTGGAAGGAAACCTCTATTATGCCAAATGCTAAGCACGTATAACGGATTATGGATATTCACCGATCCCTCACATAGGGGAGTCAAAAACACCTGAATGGCATGTGTTCATTAAACAAGAACAAGATGTAAGCCTTTTGGCTGTGAGCAGGAGGCTGGCCTCCCTCCAGCATTTTGCACGTTCACTATGTTAACCCTTTGACTGCTGAGGATCTAAATGCCCAGTCAACCTCCCCCTACCTAGCAAGCCAGTGGAGGTTTCTCGTGCCAACACGCCATATGGCATGAAAGGCAATGAAAGCAGAGAGGGGCAATGGGGCTAAGGGAAACGGAGGGAAGCTAGAACTCCCAAACTTCTAGGCAGGGGAGTGGTGGAAGTATATTGACCAGAGTTCGGGGGGTTTCACCCTCTTCAACTAGGGTGAGTGCTGCGAATGTCGGCACTCTAAGCAAATTCTGCACTTCCACCTTGCTTGCTGGTTTTCGCAATGGAGCTTCCTCATTCATATTGGGTCTGGTGATACCTTTATTATAAACCTTCTTGTGCTGCAAACCTCGAGTGCCCCAGGCCTTTCATTTCCGATGGTCTGGGTCAAAGGTGAAGTTGGGTCAGATGTTGACAATCTCTGCACACTTGCTGGTATAGACAGCACCACCCTGTCGGGAATCTCGGCACACTTATGTATCACTGTTGTTTACAACAGATCCAAAAATGAATGCAACAGCCTGATATAACAATGTCTAATGTGGAAGAGAAGAACGGAATGTGCAAAAGCTTAGCAAAATCACAAGATTTTGCAGGATTTTCGGAGTGCGCTTAGAGAAAGTGGCCACTGCGGGAAAACTACAACAGCAAATATGGCTGTTCCAAGCACATGTTAACAACATTAGTCCTACCATCTGAGAATACTTATCTACCCATGCCTAGGGGAATAGTGGCGAAAGCAGAATTTTGACAATTGCAAAGTGCTGAGATTACCCCCAGTGCCAACATTCGCAGCACTTACCCTATGCTGTTGCTGATTGGTGAAGCAGGGATGAAACTGGCTGCAGTGTACACGATACATTTGGGGAAGGTCCATAGGTACAAGATATAAGGGAGTTAGTGGAATCAGGACTCACACAGGAACGAGACCACAAACTAAAGTGGGAGGGGCTTGATTAGTGTCTATAGGCATAACAATGAAATGTTCCCCTGGAGGGGGGGGGGGGGGGAGAGGGGGAATGACATAAACCGTCCCTATGACCTGCTCCTTCTGCCATGCTCATGAACCCCCATTGCTCCTCAAAGGCATTCTTCTATTGAAGGGTTGTAAATTTATAGCGTATTCTGTAAAGAATCTTCTGGGAGCATCATTAGTATTTTTCAATTTTATTCCTATCAGAACTTAATTTCAATTAAGCTTTCTGTGAATTCTGCTTGCTGAAACTGCAATGAGCAAGAGGGTTCTCATCATACAAATTGTGGGTTTAATGAATGTCTTTGTTGGAATTGGATATTAGGGCTTGAATGTATGGAAATAGACGTCGGAATCAGTGATCAGTGTTGGTATAGTTTTTTTTTTTTCAATATTAAAATATCTGTATATTGGATATTGGCCAAAATTCGATATTGTTACATCTCCAGGCAAGTACACCTTTATGATATTACAAGTTAAGAAGATAAATAAACATATTCTCAAGCTCTTTCCACAAGCCACTCAAGCAATCACAGATCAGCATCAGCAATGAGACAAAAAAAAAAAAATTGGAACATAAAATGGTGATTTTGCAAGAAAGAAGGGGGATGAATGTAAGAGATGGACCTGGAGGACCCGAGCGGCATCGTAGAACCTGCTTGAACTGGTGACCCTCAAGGACCTGTGCTTTTCGAGCAGATTCATTGACTTTTGGATTGGGAGACCTGGAAAAAAAAGCAATAGAAAGAAACCAGTTTTATTCAGTGTGAGGAGGTAAGGAGGCCTTCAGCACCAGAAAGAATGAAACCAGCATAGAAATGAACTACAAATACTAAAATACACCTCAGAGACCAGTTCAGTCCAATGCAAAACTCAGGGGGAAAAAGTGCTTTGTTTTCATAATTTTGAAAAGGAATATAATTGAAAAGGAATATAGTCCATGGTTGTAGCTTCACATGTCATTTTCTGCAAGAAAATTCAATATAATACAGTCTGCACTGGAAAGAATCACACCTCCAGCATCTGGTTTTCAGTTACTGTGCTTACTTGGTTCAAGACAATTATTTTCCATTTTTTCTCAATACTTTAATTTCAATGTTTGCAGGCAATCATTGGTGTAATTTGTTCAGTGCATATTGTAACATTCACTTGGCATTATCGCTTGCAGACAAGCAATGAAATTTTAGATATAAAAAAAATTGCTTAGAATTGAATAATCGTGGTAATTCCAGTGACTTTTTTTAATATTGTCTACAACTCCACAATATCTGTGTATTCAGAGCTGAAAAATATCAACTTCAGGAAAAAAAAAGCAACAGATGGGTCAGAGAATGATGAAACAGACAACCTACCTTGACCACAAACTATAAAGACAGAAAAAAAAATTCCTTGACAGATAGGTAGTGTGAGTTAAAGGAAATAAGCTAAACAGAAAGTATGCTGACCTAAGATATGGCTCAGTGCAAGGGATTTTGCACGAATGCTTTCATCATTGTTGTCACCATTAGCTGTGGCCATGGGCTCTACAATGGACACATGGCCAATCATGCGGCTGAGCTTTGGCCAGGGAGATCTGAGGGTTTGGGTGAGGCATCTGGCAATGCAGTATGTCACCATACCCCCCTCTCTTTGAGTGTACCTTGTATGGCAGAAAAGACAAAGGATGCATGATGATGAAAGTAAGGGAGATCCCAGTCTAGCTGGAAGGCCCCCTTGAATATACAGGGTGGCCCAAAAGTCGCACACCATAGGGATTTCACTGTTGGACTATATTAATTCTTTTTCTTTCTTTCCAGGTAAATGATGGCTGCCAAATTAAAGAAGACAAGGGTGTAATTAATAATAATAAAGGGAATAATTAGAATAATATTTATTATCATTATTATTCAAAAGCACCGAACCCAGGGGGGCAAAGGGGCACATGCCCCCCCAAGAATGGCCAAATTTCAATAAAAGTATGCCTCATAGAAAATTGGAAACAAAATGCTGCTTCATGAAAGAAATGAAAAATATGATTAGAATGGTTGGAATGGTTAGAATCCAGACTTCAGTTTTTTAGCATTTAACAGACCGACTGATAGGAGGAAAGGCATGTTTGGGTAGCATGAGTGACCTAGACCATAAAGGAAAGTTCGGACAGTCACTGGAGACCCCCAGTGACCCACTCAAAATGGCTTGGCGCAAATTGGGTCGCAATTATCCAGGGGTTAAGGGTATGCCATAAGGGTATGGGGTGGAAGGCCCATGCCCAACCCCCCCCCACTCATCACTGCTACCACAATAATGCTGTATTGAGCTACCCCAATGGGTCCTAGAATAATTCCATCACTGTTATTTCTGGGGCATTGGGAACTTGCCCAGCCAATATTTTTTAGAAGTCAGCGCCTGTGTTACTATAAAAATTAATATAGTCCAATTGTTAAAATCCCCTAGGGCACGTGACTTTTGGGCCACCCTGTACCGTTGCTGATGGTTCTGGAAATAAAGGTAGATACAAAGGCAGAAAATCCTCTTTGCTCAAAGGCTCCATATGGAACAACAAATTTCAAGAATTTTCCCAGACTAACTTTTTTGAATAATGTCAATAGGATGGAAATGAGAAGAAATACAAGGTATACCACAGCAAATAAGGACTTCATTGGTAGGAGAACAAATGAAGTCACATGATTTCATTTGCTTTTCAATAGATAAAAATGAAAAACTTAAATAATTAATAAGTTGAGAAAAAATTCGTAAGTGTATATACATTTTTAGATTTAACTTACAAGAAGGATAGGGACGGTGTATTAATCCCTAACTTTCTCAATTTAAGTGTACGTGGTCCATAACGGGTAATACTATTTTCTGCCCAATTTTGCCTAAATGCATTCTAAATTTTATTGCATATCAATGTGAAATAATATTCTACTACAGTATATCATACAGGGCCGTATCTAGGATTTCGTTTTGGGGAGGGATGAGGTCTGGTGTATGCACTGTGGCTATTTTTTTAATACTTGTCATTGTAAGTCTTTTTGACATCTGGATTTTCCTGTAAGTTGCAGTGTTTAATAGGTCAAAAACTATTAAAGATAGAAAAGACCAACAGTACTGCACTGTTTACACCGACAAATAGCGGTATGGCAATAATTTAAGGAAGATATTTCGGGGGGGGGGGGGGGG